ACATCTTTGGGCACACCATGCTCAAAAGGTTGCCTACCCCTGGTCTAAAACAGAAAGATAAAAAGAAACATTGTTTCTATTTGTATCTTTCTGTTGATTAATTTACAGATCAAAGGGATGAACTTAGATGAAGTAAGTTTAAAACAACCTGTCAAGTAAAAAAAAATTTTTCGTTTTTTTTTATTTTTTATTAAATGTTCCTCTTTTTGACCCCTTATTAATCCTACGTTTACTCTAATCAGTCATAATTAACTCCTTATTCTCCTTCTCCATTTAATTATTATTTTCTTGATGTTTTTTTTTGTTCATTTCTATTTTATAAACTATTTATTGCATAAATGCCTCCTCTTGACCATGCAAAGAGTCTTAACCACCCAGAAAAAAGAAAAAAAGAGGGGGCATTTATGCCATGCAAAGAACTAAGTGGTTTAAATATTTAGTTTTTTAGATTTATGCCAATATAGTGTAGCTTGGATCCCACCGTCCCCTGTGGGTCCCTAGAGGGTTTGGCCCCCTGGCTTTCCTCCCCCTGGCCCCCGTTGTGCCCATGATATGATACTCTAGTATCCCAGAATGAGAGATATTATTGAATGTATGTTTTTGTTTGTATAAGTAGTTACATATTATTTATATGGTGATGGCTCCTGAAGAAGTAGATCAAGTCCCTAAAACGTGTTTAGCTCAAGCCTAAAAAAATGAGCTCAAAGTCTACAAAGAATTGGGTTATATGAGAAGATATATGCTGTTCTTTGATGCTGTAATTTTTTTTTTATCTTTTATGATTCTGTATTGTTAATGTAAAATAGAAAGATATCACAGATGTTGGATTTTGATATATAATAATGTTTTTATGCTGATGCCGTGCCTCAAAAGTCCCCATTTTCAGGTTTTTCTTTATTTACAATCACTCATTCAGCTGTCAGCGGGGTTCCCCTGCTGACAGCTGAAGTGTAAACAAAACAGTTGCCGGCAGGTATACGTAATCGGTATCGGCAAGTACCAAAAAAAGTATCGGTACTCATACTCGCTGTGAAAAAAATTATATCGGTGCATCCCTAGAAAATACTATTGTTAGAAGGAGATCTTAATGGCATCCCCATATTTACAGAACTCCACATCTTTGATGTCAGCCATGCAGTTTACTGAAGACGGCATAAATTGATAGCGTACATATTCTCTTAGTACAGGGAGTTTTCTTTATTCCAGTTACAGCACATCTTGGTGGAGTAAATAAAATTAGCAGGGCTTGCCAAGAAATGTTTTCTCATTTTATGTTACAGTGGCAACGTCACTAAAATGAAAGCGGAAATAAATGATCTTCCTGCAAAAAAAATACCTCTCGTCCCTGCCGCAAAACCAAACACTTCAAAGGCTAGGTTCAATTTTCCTGCCTGTTTCAGCCTAGGTTCACACTATGGATTGCATTTGAATTGCACAGGTAACACACTGCATTCCTGTGCATTTCACATGTGATTCTGTGCGGTGCCTTTTGATCCCATTCATTTTGAATGGCTCAAATCGCACCACATCTGCATTGTTGGTAACACACTAGAACCGGATCACATGGTCATTTGGTACCATGCGATCTGGTTCAGGCAAAGGCGCAACCTACTTTTTGGGTGTCCTTAACCTTGAACTGATACTCGCAGCAGATCATAAAACACACTGCGCATGCAGTGCATGAAATGCACAAGGATTGCGGTGTTTCCAGCACTGCATATGTGTGAACCAGGGCTCAGTGCGATTTCAAGGGGTAATTGTTCAGCAATTCAGGCACGATTCTGATGCAGTTTTACAGTGTTTTCTCTCTCTCTCCTCTCTCTCCCCGAAGCATAGACTTGCAGAAAAGGTACTTGGGTTATCTTAGGACAGATAAGTGATTTCCATTCAAATCTATGTAGCTACAAATCGCACTGCATTAAACTCGCACAGGACCCATTTTAATATCGCATTCGAATTGCACTGCATATACAGTATGTGAATGGCATCCATAGAAACTCATGTTATTTCATTTGTCCTGCGATACACTCATTCTGGAACCCATCAGAAAAATGCATCAGTGTAAAACAGGGCTAATGCAGACAACTAGGATACCTCAAGACTCTTTTGAAACTGATGCTTATGGGAGTATTGGGCCCCAAGTCCCCTGCTGTGCTCACTGGGTCTTTCTGCTGACCCCCATGTTACTACAGGAAACAATAATCAGTGACATAGGAGTTGTCAGGAGAAACCACTAGTGTAGCAGGGAACACGAGACTGACACTCCTAAAGAAAATGATTTCTCTGCAGTGGACCGGCATTCTGCATCGCAGACATTGGGAGCAATTTTAACTTTCTTCTTTGTGGGGATGTTTCTGTTGCGGAACGTTTCTTCCTGACTACTCATACCTAGATTTGTATTGGCCTCCTCAGCACAGCTGACTGATGATAACCCTGCACACAGTGAACACATTTGTACATTTAAAAGACTTCAGCAGAAAGGGAAGCAATTCCCTTCATATAACTATATATAAATACTGGATCCAAACTTGTCATTGTACACTTTCCAATAGATGGTGTGGACCATTGCATTTTCAGCGTTGAAAAATTCCTGATGGCTGCCTGCCCCTTTCTGTCCTCTCCTTTATTCAAAAACGTCCCTGCATTGTTTTCACAAAATTCAACACTGGCCATTCAGCCACCTCTCCTCCCTTCTCATGATACATGGCCATAGATCTCTGACATCATCAAAACCAATGCAGAGCCCATAGCCTTGCACTGGATGTGAGAATGGTGAGGAATAGCCCACGGCTAAAGCGTAGGGTAGAGCCAACTGCCAGGAGAACAGAGGATCCTGTAGTAAAACTGGTTTTCCTGTCCCCTAAGCATTTAACCCTCGCAGAACAGGGGCAACTCCAATGTTATTTTCTCAGGAGTTGGGCTTTATAGCTGATCTCCAGCTTTGAGTGAAGTTTAACTAGTAGCTGACCGCAGATAGCCGAATGACGGCTGCACTGCAGCCGGTCAGTTCTGGGAGGGCGTCATATGACTTCCTCCCAGAACACGCTCTCCTGTGTGCCCCCAGGGGTGCGCACCCGGTGATCTCTGTGTCCTACGGACACAGCTGATCACGTGATGTGGTAAAAGGCCAACCACAGCAGCCTTTTAGCACGTGATCAGCCAAGTACAATGACACGCTGATCACCGGGAAATGCAATTGCCAATTCTCGGCTGCACTTTCCTCACGCTGTCACAGCGTGAGGAAAGTACTGCCGAGAACCAACAGTTCTCAGAGCAGGGATCAGCACCGATCATCGGGGCCCTGATGATTGGTGCCCAGCAATGCCGCCAGTCAGTGCCGCCTATCAGTACCCATCATCAGTGCTGACTATCAGTACCCATCATCAGTGCCCATCAGTGCTGCCTATCAGTGCCACCTATCAGTGCCCATCAGTGCTGCCTATCAGTGCAGCCTCATCAACGCACATCAGTGAAGGAGAAAAATTACCTGTTTGCAAAATTTTATAATAGAAACAAAGAAACAATTTTTTTTTTTTTTGCTCTTTTTTTGTTTATAGCACAAAAAGTAAAACACCCAGCGGCAAGTAAATACCACCAAAAAAAGCTCTATTTGTGGGAAAAAAACAATTCATATGGGTATAATATTGCAAGACCACACAATTGTCATTCAAAGTGCGACAGCGCTGAAAGCTGAAAATTGGCCTGGTAAGGAAGGCGGTATAAGTGCCCGGTAGGCAAGTGGTTAAATAGTTTGGACTAGGCTGGTCCAAATGAACTTTTACCTTCACTAACAGATGCAACAGCTTTGTACACTGTATAAGCGGAATGTAGCCTCAGTTTCAGACAGTATATAGTGCTGTGTTCTGGCAGTGGGATGAGAATTTCCAGTCCCACTCCAGGAACATAATAGTTAGGCTCAGGGGCAGACTGAACATTTGGAAACTCGGGCACTGCCCAAGGGCCTGGGGACAGTAGAGGGCCCCATGAGATGCCCCTGGTACCTTTTTCATAGGCTTTTTTGAGTTTGGGCAAGGACACAGGGGCCCCATGATCCCTATTGCCCGGGGGCCCCATGAGTTGTCAGTCCGCCCCTGGTTGGGCTAAGCAGTGCTCAGCCATTCACATGGAGCTTTGTATTCTATGAATTACTACAAAACTTCCTTTGATTGGCAGAGTCTGAGGTTTTAAAGTGTTACTAAACCCACAACAGTAAAATCTGTCTGTATATGCAGTAAAGCATGCTTGTTATCCACACTGTGGAACCTGAGGGGTTAATCCTCTGCATTATGTAAAAAGTCTGTTTGATCCTGTCGTCTCTGAACCTCCCCTTCTTTAGCTGTCCCCAATCCATCTGCTGATAGTACAGAGCTCTAGGAGTCCCTCTGCACGTGGTGGTTTGGTGTATATTGCTAGAGGGGTGCATGTGATCAGCACAGGGCCAACAAGCACTGTCTGGACAAAGGGTCAGGGGTTATGCAGCCTCATAGGACAGCCAGAGGAGAATGAAAACTCCTCCTACAAACTTTAACCAGTGCTCAGCTGGACACTGATAGAAGTCACAAGACTAGTGTTGCCACCTCATCCCTTTAAAACTGAACACATTAATTACACAGGTTCTGTGGCTGATTTTATGCATTTAAAAGCTTTTCAAGAGCAGCAGTGGGATGTGCAGAATACATTGATGGTTGCCCAACACAGTGATATCAGACACATACCAACGCTCCAATTCTGAGCACATGACTGTAGTGGCACTAAGAGCAAGACTGGAGTGAGTCGCTGACAACACACACAGTCATCCAAACCCCTCCTTGTACAACAGAAGCAGGTTTTTCCAGGATCTTGTATTGCCCAGTCATGTCTGATGACCTCACTTTCACTTTTAAACCAAACATCATCAGCGTCACGTGATTCACACCTCCCCCCTCCCCCGCCCGCTAATTAAGGGGTTAAGCGTCTGGCCGACACGCCCTCTCTAACGTCAACGTGTGACGTAGGACGCCTGGGGTCCTTTTGACGTAGCCGATTTTCGGTGCCTGCCTGGAACGGTTGCTGGCTATCGTAGATCGGTGCGACGTGAGGCAGAGGCCAGCGAAGGCCCCGAAGCTCCCAGCGGAGAGCAGACCGGCGAGGAGAGGGGGAGCCGCGGGGCCGGTACGTGCCTTGCGTTGTGTGCGTACACTGCGTGCCGTGCGTAAGCGGCGTCCGTACGCGGCGGGGGGTATTAGAGGGAGGGGGGAACCGGGCCGGAGCGGGGGTGTATTCAGGTAAGAGGGGGGATTTTGAGCGGGTTTGAAGTGTGGGGGCATGCGGCAGGTGCTCGGGGCTGGCCTACATTGTGCCAGTACGTGTGTCTGGGTACTTTGGGGGGTGGCTGGCGGTTATTGGGTCTTTTCTCTGACTACGTTTCTGTAAACGGGTTCCTGGGCCGCGGTGGTTGTTCTGGTGAGCGTGCTTCTTAATGACTTTGTATGGCGTTGTGGGTATGTCAGGTGGCTCCTCAGTCAGTGGGGACACTGTACTTGTAGCCTGGTCAGTGAGTAGCTCCCATACAGCCCATTGAAGCGGATGGCTGGGCTGCTTTATAGGGCCCTTCTAAAGGGCTATGTGTGGGAAAACCTTCTTTTTTTAAATCTAGCTTTAGATAGAGAAGGGTTAGAACTTCTGTTTTGGTTTTTGCATTCTTGGTGGGGAGGATAATCTTTGTCCATTGGCCCACTCAGACAGAAGGGCAGTCCATTACTATTATTATACAGGATTTATATAGCGCCAACAGTTTGCTCAGCACTTTACAATGTAAAGGGAGACAATACAGCAACAATACATTTCAGTACAGAAGGCATAGGAGTTTATAGTTGCTACCAGAACATGCAGTGGTAGTAAGGCTTGGCCAGACATTATATGAATTTAATTACTATAGATTTACCAAAACCATATAATAAGGCCAGACCTAAATCCTTTGTGTACCATCAGGCAGGCCCCTGACCATAGTTAAAGGGAAATTTAAAGCGCATTGTATGTTTGGCCAGCTTGAAGTGGCTCTTCCCTGCATCTGAGCACCACACAAACCAAGAACACTATTTAATTTTGAAGTTCAAAGCAAAGCTTTGTGGCTATGCTTTTTATTTTGTTGAGAAATAGTTTTGAAAAACGGCCATCTTGAGTAATGATTCATGCAGCATTTATTTCCTGGGATCTTTCTTCCCTTAGCTCAAGCAAGTAGGAGAGTGTGCTTTGCTGAGAAAACCACTCCTCCCCTTCTCACCTCTTTAAAATGGTAGCTGTGATGGAAGCGTAGGCAGGACAGAACACACAACGAAGATGGGGAACACACAAAGCTTTATTGAACTATGAAAGACACTCAATTAGGACAGTTCATGGCACTCTGCAACATGCAGCTTGTAGGGACACCCACGGTAAGCTGGCTCATGGGGACTCAACGGGGCCTTGGCGATGGGGTCTGATCTCAGCACAATCCCCACACAGCTTTCTAGGGGCAACATTGGCTCACGGGGACTCAACGGGACTTTGGCTCTGGAGTCTGGCCTCAACACAGCTCCTACACAGTGTACTAGGGACATCAGGCTCACGGGGACTCAAGGCTAACGATGGCTCAAGCACTCGGGGGCATCCCAGGTAGCTAAACTCTGGGCACGTCATGGGGCGGTTCAAGTAAGGGTAGTCTGGGAGTGCAATAGGGGCAGCTCATGACTAGGGTGGTCTGAGCGCACAATAGGGACAGTTCATGACACGGGTGGTCTGTGCGCACAACAGGGACAGTTCAGGACACGGGTGGTCTGTGCGCACAACAGGGACAGTTCAGGACACGGGTGGTCTGTGCGCACAACAGGGACAGTTCAGGACACGGGTGGTCTGGGTGCACAATAGGGGCAGTTCATGGCTTCTAGGGACACTCACGTAGGCGTCTTGCAGATGCTTAGCAGCAGGCAGCTTCGGGGGGGGAGGGGTGTAGGCGACTTGCGAACGCTCAGCAGCAGGTGGCTTCCAGGGAGGTAGGCGACTTGCGGACGCTCAGCAGCAGGTGGCTTCCAGGGAGTTAGGCGACTTGCGGACTCAGCAGCAGGTGGCTTCCAGGGAGTTAGGCGACTTGCGGACGCTCAGCAGCAGGTGGCTTCCAGGGAGTTAGGCGACTTGCGGACGCTCAGCAGCAGGTGGCTTCCAGGGAGTTAGGTGACTTTCGGACGCTCAGCAGCAGGCGGCTTCCAGGGAGGTAGGCGACTTGCGGACGCTCAGCAGAAGGCGGCTTCCAGGGCAAAGTGGTCAGCAGGCAGGGCGGCTTCCCAGGGCCCCAGCAATCGGCAGGCAGGGCGGCTTCCCAGGGACCCTCAGCAACGGACGGCCGCCCTCACAGCTGCCAGCTTTTCAGGGGACAGCAGCGATTAGCAGGCGGGGGGGGTCAGCAGGCAGGGGCCCTCACAGCGGCCAGCTTCTCCAGGGGCCCAGCGGTCAGCAGGCAGGGGCCCTCACAGCGGCCAGCTTCTCCAGGGGCCCTTCTCAGGCAGGGGCCCCTCCAGCCGATCTCCAGGGGCCCAGCGATCAGCAGGCAGGGGCCCTCGCAGCAGCCAGTTTGTCAGGAACAGCACCGGGAGTCATGGCTGTGGAGTCTGACCTTAGAGGAGGGGGGGCTCATGCAGAGCGCTCAGCGGGGATGGCTGCAGAGGCCCGGACCTCCCACAAAAGCTCCGGCCTTTTAAAGCTCCCAGGACGCTTCCGGGTTGCATCGGCTGGCCCAGTGCGCGTTGTTGGGGCAATGAGGCACGCCCCCTTGACTCGTGCCGCACTTCTTGTGAGCGCGGCCTTTGTCGCTGGAGTGTGCAGAGAGCGGGAAGCCCCCGTGCCCGCTCTGCATCCACCAGGGTCGCGCAGAGACATCTCGTCTGTCTGCTGCTGGGGTCTCCTGGCAGGGGGGGGGGGGGTCACAGCTCCTCCGCCTAGATTGCCGGATGAGCTGTGATCCTAAGGCAGGGGTCCCCTCCCCCCATCCTGCACAGCCTGGCTTCAGAGGCTATGTGCAGGATGAGGACGCTGCAGGAGGGGAGGGTGAAGGCACACCGTGACAGTAGTAAACAGCCAAAAAAGATTAAAAAAAAAAAATGTCCCCTGCAAAATGTCTTAATGTGATGGTATGTATCGCATACCAGCACATTATGAAAGACTTAACTTAGAATGAAGCCGTCCAGTGGCACGCTCTCACTGTTGACAGGGATTCCATCTTCATCCGGTCTTCCTTCTGTGTTTGCAAGTGTTGGCCGAGCTGCAAAGACATCTCTCCTGTACAGAAGTCTCGGCCGCGGCACAGAGCTCTGAAGGAATGGCATGGGTATGCCATTTGTTTAGAGTGAATGCGCCAGTGATGTAATCAGCTGCAGGAACACTGAGTATCTCTTAAACCAGTGGTTCTCAACCTGTGGGTCGCGACCCCTTTGGGGGTCGAATGACCCTTTCACAGGGGTCGCCTAAGACCATTGGGAAAACACATTTCCGATGTGTAATGAGCAGCTACGGTGTTGAAAGCAGCTACGGTGTTGAAAGCAGCAGTATTGGAGGTAAAACGACACTTCATGAATTATAATTACTGGGTAAATAATTTTATGGTTGGGGGTCACCACAACATGAGGAACTGTATTAAAGGGTCGCGGCATTAGGAAGGTTGAGTACCACTGTCTTAAACGGTGCATGTTTAGGAGATATTCCTTGTACCTACAGGTAAGCTTTATTATAAACTTACCTGTAGGTACTAGTGTCTAGTGGGAGTTTACTTCCTCTTTAGACTCGTGGAATGTATGACTTCATTTGCCTAGGCAAGAATCCAGGAAGTAACTGAAGAAATTTAAAAAAAAAAAAAAGTTTAAAACCAGTAAATATGAAATACTTTCCTATCTATTTTCTAATGCTAGCGGCATAAGGAATAAAAGTAATATTGATTGTATGCAACTTAAAAGGTGACACTAATATATGAGACTCATTACATACAAAGCAAGATAGTTCAAGCCGTGATTTGTCATAATTGTGATGCTTATGGCTTACAGTTCATGTAAACCCCAAATCCACAATCTCAGAAAATTAGAATATTACATGCAATCAATAAAACAAGGATTGTACATAGAACAATATCGGACCTCTGAAAAGTATAAGCATGCATATGTACTCAGTACTTGGTTTGGGCCCCTTTTGCAGCAATTACTGCCTCAATGCGGCGTGGCATGGAAGTTATCAGCCTGTGGCACTGCTGAGGTGTTATGGAAGACCAGGATGCTTCAATAGCGGCCTTCAGCTCTTCTGCATTGTTCGGTCTCATGTCTCTCATCTTTCTCTTGGCAATGCCCCATAGATTCTCTATGGGGTTCAGGTCAGGCGAGTTTGCTGGCCAATCAAGCGCAGTAATCCCACGGTCATTGAACCAGGCTTTGGTGCTTTTGGCAGTGTGGGCAGGTGCCAAGTCCTGCTGGAAAATGAAGTCCGCATCCCCATAAAGCTGGTCTGCGGAAGGAAGCATGAAGTGCTCCAAAATCTCCTGGTAGACGGCTGTGTTGACCCTGGACTTAATGAAGCACAGTGGACCAACACCAGCCGATGACATGGCTCCCCAAATCAACACAGACTGTGGAAACTTCACACTGGACTTCAAGCATCTTGCAGTGTGTGCCTCTCCATTCTTCCTCCATACTTTGGGTCCTTGGTTTCCAAATGAGATGCAAAAGTTGCTCTCATCAGAAAAGAGGACTTTGGACCACTGAGCAACAGACCAGGTCTTTTTTTCTTTAGCCCAGGTAAGACTCTTCTGATGTTTGTTGTTCAAGAACAGCTTGACAAGAGGAATACGACATTTGAAGCCCATGTCTAGGATCCTTGTGTGTGTGTGTGTGGTGGCTCTTGATGCACTGACTCCAGCCTCAGTCCACTCCTTGTGAAATTCCCCAACACTTTTGAATGGCCTTTTCCTGACAATCCTCTCCAGGCTGCGGTCATCCCTGCTGCTTGTGCACCTTTTTCTTCCACACTTTTCCCTTCCACACAACTTTCTATTAATGTGCTTTGATACAGCACTTTGGGAACATCCAACGTCTTTTGCAATTACCTTTTGAGGCTTTCCCTCCTTATGGAGGGTGTCAATGTTGGTTTTCTGCACAACTATCAGGTCAGCAGTCTTTCCCATGATTGTGATTCCTACTGAACCAGACTGAGAGACCATTTAAAGGTCAATTATGACAAATCACAACTTGAACTATCTTGCTTTGCATGTCATGAGTCTATCTCCTATATTGGTTTCACATTTTAAGTTGCATTACTGAAACAAATGAACTTTTGCACGATGTGTGTGTGTGTGTTGATATTTCTACATGGCAAATACTTTACTAGCAGGTGTAGTAGAGTAATAGAAATCCAACAGTCATGACATGCATGCTGCTGATTCTGTGTAATTGAAAGGGGCATATTCAAAATAATAGCAGTGTGGAGTTCTTAGTGAGGTCATTCATTCTTTGAAAAACAGGTGGCAATTATTGCCCTTCTTTAACTAGCTGCCGACCGCAGATAGCCGAATGACGGCTACACTGCGGCCGGCCAGTTCTGAGTGGACGTCATATGACGTCCTCCCAGAACGCGCTCTCCTGCGCGCCCCAGGGGGCGCGCACCGGCGATCTCCGTGGCCTTTTACCACGTGATCAGCGGTGCCCAATGACACGCTGATCAGAGGGAAATGCAAGTGCCGGTTCTCGGCTGCACTTTCCTCACGCTGTCAGATCGTGAGGAAAGTACTGCCGAGAACCGGCAGTTGTCAGAGCGGGGATTCGGCACCGATCATCAGGGCACTGATGATCAGTGCCCTGATGATCGGTGCCCAGCAGTGCCACCCGCAAGTTCCGCCCACCTGTGCCCAGCAGTGCGCCCACTAGCTCCGCCCACCTGTGTCCAGCAGTGCCACCCACCTGTGTCCACCAGTGCCACCCACCTGTGTCCACCAGTGCCACCCACCTGTGTCCACCAGTGCCACCCAGCTGTGCTGCCAGTCAGTGCCGCCAGTCGGTGCCCTGCCAGTGCCAGTGCCGCCAGTCAGTGCCCAGGGGTTGTGCCAGTCAGTGCTGCCAGTCAGTGCCCAGCAGTGATGCCAGTCAGTGCTGTCTATCAGTACCCATCATCAGTGTCGCCTATCAGTGCTGCATATTAGTGCTGCCTATCCGTGCCACCTCATTAGTGCTGCCTATCAGTGCCGCCTATCAGTGCCCATCAGTGCTGCCTCATCAACGCACATCAGTGAAGGAGAAAAAATACCCGTTTGAAAAATTTTATAATAGAAACAAACTTTTTTTTTCAAATTTTTTGCACTTTTTTTATTTATAGCGCAAAAAGTAAAGCGCCCAGTGGCGATTAAATACCACCAAAAGAAAGCTCTATTTGTGAGAAAAAAAATGATCAAAATTTCATATGGGTACAATGTTGCATGACCGCGCAATTGTCAATCAAAGTGCAGCAGCGCTGAAAGCTAAAAATTGGCCTGGTAAATAAGGGGGTATAAGTGTCTGGTAGGCAAGTGGTTAAGGAAGGCAGCAAATGTTGTACATGCTGGTTACAGTGCACTTCTCTCTGAAATTTGAGGAAAATGGGTTGTTCCAGACATTGTTCAGAAGAACAGCGTACCTTGATTACAAAGTTGATTAGAGAGGGGAAAACCTATAAAGAAGTGCAGAAAATGATAGGCTGCTCAGCTAAAATGATTGCAAATGCTTTAAAATGGCAACCAAAACGTGGAAGAAAGCGAAAAAACTACCATTCGAATGGATAGAAGAATAGCCAAAATGGCAAGGACTCAGCCAACAATCAGCTCCAGGAAGATCAAAGAAGGTCTAAAGTTACCTGTGAGTACTGTTACAATTAGACGACGCCTATGTGAAGCCAAGCTATCTGCAAGAAGCCCCCGCAAAGTCCCACTGTTGAAAAAAAGACGTGCTGAAGAGGTTACAATTTGCCAAAGAGCACATTGACTGGCCTAAAGAGAAATGATGCAACATTTTGTGGACTGATAAAAGTAAGATTGTTCTTTTTGGGTCTAGTGGCCGAAGACAGTTTGTCAGACGACCCCCAAACACTGAATTCAAGCCACAGTACACTGTGAAGACAGTGAAGCATGGTGGTGCAAACATCATGATATGGGGATGTTTCTCATACTACGGTGTTGGGCCTATTTATCGCATACCAATGATCATGGATCAGTTTGAATACATCAGAATACTGGAAGAGGTCATGCTGCCTCAAGCTGAAGAGGAAATGCCCTTGAAATGGGTGTTCCAACAAGACAACGACCCCAAACACCCCAGTAAACGTGCAACATCTTGGTTCCAGGCCAACAAGATTGACGTTATGGAGTGGCCAGCCCAATCCCCGGATCTTAATCCAATAGAAAACTTGTGGGGTGACCATCAAAAATGCAGTTTCTGAGGCAAAACCAAGAAATAAAGAACTGTGGAATGTAGTCCAATCATCCTGGGCTCGAATACCTGTTCACAGGTGCCAGAAGTTGGTTGACTCCATGCAACACAGATGTACAGCAGTTCTCAGAAACAGTGCTTATACAACTAAATATTAATTGATTCAAAGGAAAGCAAAATCTTCAAACATTTTTCAGTTTATATAGTCAATGTTTGCGTTTGTAAAGAATACAAACGCTGCTATTTTTTTGAACCGTCTAATCACTTTTCTTCAATTTTTTTAGAGGAACACATTTGATATTCCTGTTTTGATTTGGAATAGAATGTGTAGTGTTCCCAGTGCATTTGTGTGTATGGAAATAAAAGCTATTAGAAGGATTTTGAACTTAATTCACTTTTTTCAACACACTATTATTTTGAACACAACTGTGTGTGTATATCTATATCATTTTTTTTTTTTTTCCCCCAAACATGTTCTACATAACTGCTCTGTGAGAGTTTTGCACAAAGCAACCCCGATCCTTCTCTTTCCTGGGTCCCCTGCCAGTGCTCTTGGCTCCTCCCTCTTAAGGATTACACACAAATTCGTGAAACAAAACATATTGGTGTGTTTATGATGCTTTTTTAAAAAAAACAAATCGCCAGATGACCCCTCTGTATTGGTTTTTCAGTGTGTGGATTTTTGTATTCTGATCTTGACTGGTAATTAGGGATGTATCGGTGTTAAAACCAAGTATTTTCATGATTACTCATACTCATGGAAATACTCCCAAAACTGATACTTTGAAGTGCGATTGCGTCCTTACAAAATGAATTGGTGTGAACAGGGATGTGGTGCAACTTCTGTCCAAATCGTGTTCAGTTTCCTCACCACTTGTCATAGCCTGAGATCACGCAGGAGTGGTGTGGGAAGCCTCCTTGCACCAATTTCATGCTGTCCAACAACAAAAAGCCACTTCACAGGTCTGGGGATTTGAAATACTTAAACTGCTCTGCAAAATGCTTCTGTAGGCACAATGCCAGCATGAGGCAAACAGAAAAATTGGGGGAGAGCCACTAGGTTCAGGTCAGACCACTGAGTGGTCACATGATTGGATCCCAGCGCTGGCTTCAGTGTATGGAAATTGGCCGCCTTTTTTTTTTTTTTTTTTTTTTTTTTTGTTATCTTTTATTAAAGTGAAACATGAGCTCAAAAAAATGCAAAAGGACGTACAGGCAGGAATTGTGATGCAAAAGAGACATTCTGTTTCCATGTATTAGTTTCTTACCTGCCTTTCTGCCCTTGTACAGTTGGCTACACACAGAGCTCACTGTACAAGCCTGGCAATGCTGATTCTGTCCGATCTCTTGCACATACATGAGTGAGGTCATCCCCGGCCCGCGATTGGAAGCTGGCCACCCAAAGATGTCAGGTGGGGGACTCCGTATCATTGGAGCCAAGGTAAATGTAGTTTCACTTTAATCCACTGACTTGATGCAGGAGGCAAGGTGGATTTCCAGTTGGGATACAAGTTCTGGCCATGTTGAGGAAATGTACTACAAAGGAGTGGCGGTTTTTCTACTTGGAGAGTGAGCTTAGATGTGGAAGGCAGATGGCTGAATCTTGCACAGTAGACAATCAAATGTTTTTGAATCTGCAATCTGTGTTTTGTTCTCTCGATCATCTATCTCAGGGAGTGATCATCCCAGAGAGCGAAAGGTTTGTTTCTGCTCAAACCTATTTTACAGTTCCAGAACAAAACTGAGATGTTTGCACCATCACAGATCTTAAAGTGATCTGAAACCTGAAGCTAAATAATGCTATCTATTGCAGCTTACAGTCATTTAAATTAAAAAAACAAGAAAAAAACAACCTCTCCTCCGATATTAAGATCCTTCCAAGCTTGATGCAGGTCTACCTCGTCGCCTAATAGTGGCATATAGCCTGCTATAACTGGACTTCACAGGAGTACAAAAGCAAATGTAATCCTGTGACCCTTAAGAGAGGCATGATCAAAAGCTTTGACCATACTTATTTTAAACCTTTGCCAATGGTAGCCTGTTAACAGTAACCTCCTTTCAGAATACTGAACTCTGTCCTGTTAGTGATATGATGGCCTGTTTTTTCTTTTAAATCTGCTAAGATGCCCACTCCCGATTTTGGCTTTCTTCAATGGACAAATTTGAGTTTTTTTTTTTTTTTTTTTTCATTGGGCATATGTCTTGTGTGATTTTATTTTAAGTGCTGCAGTTGTCTTTTGGTAGTTTGACCAAATAAGTTTCATTCGATGATATTCATGTTGCCTCAGTGTAAAGTATTGCAGACTACACAGTTGTCCCAGGCTAGCTTATTAAAAATCTGCTACTAAGGCTACCTAACAAATTTCCCCCTTGTTAGGTTTGTTGTGGATATCTGGGCTTGTTGGAATGGATCACAAAGAGGACCCAGACATCAGAGAATCTTTTGGTAACCTCAAGAAGGCCCCTCGAAGCAAATCCCATCACCAATACTCCAAGGTATTTCCATTATTTTAGTAACTATAAAGCAAATCAGTGGCTGTTCTCTATACAGGCAACTGCTATGAAAAAGATGACATGGGTTCTTTGTGAAATGCTTTGGGGTTTTCATGGTTAGTAACTGTTTGCTTTAACAGGAAGAACTTCTGGACATCAAGGAGCTGCCACACTCTAGACAGAGACCATCTTGTTTACTAGACAAATATGACAGGTGTGTAGCATTGAATGTTGTGCTTGAGTTGACTAGTTAACGAAAGTTTGATTTTGATTTAAAGTTTGCCTTTATACTTTATGAAAAATATATGGCCCTGTTTGGCAGTGATGGTGTTTGGGACCCTGAGAAATGGCATGCATCTCTATATCCAAATTCTGGACGCAGCTCTCCTGTTGACCCTTCCAGAAAAGACACTGAAGTAGAAAGAGGATCTCTGAAACGTCGAATAGCAGGTAAAGTGCCAGGCTCTATTGGGCTTCTCTTGATGACTTATAGACAGATACAGCATGGATTTGTCTTTTTGCAGACCCAAGAGAGCGCGTTAAGGAAGATGACCTTGATGTGGTCCTCAGTCCGCAACGACGGAGCTTTGGGGGTGGTTGCCATGTTACTGCAGCTGTCGGTTCCCGTCGATCTGGGAGTCCCCTGGATAACAAGGAGAATGAGAGCTTGCGACTTATTGGTGGCAGAAGAATTGGCAGTGGCAGAATCATAGCTGCTAGAGGGTTTGAACGTGATCTGCGAGGTGAAAAAGATCTACGAGAACCTCGTGAGACAAGGGAAAAGGAGTACAAAGATAAGCGTTTCAGGGTAAGACCTGTTGCTTTGGTTTTTGTTATTGAAATGGCCAGTTCAAGCTAAGGCAATATTCATGGTACTGGTAGGAGTCTGGTGGTCCTTAAGTTGCACATTTTGTATTGCTTGTTGACTCGGCACAGAGGTTTCGGCAAGCTTGGCTTTTGTTACTGCTACTGTATAACATTAAAAATAAAATGTACATGAAGTGGGACTGCTGCATGTGTGTACATTAATATAGGTATAAAGGAAACCATTATTTACTGTATTTTTCGCTCCATAAGACGCGCCTAGGTTTTAGAGGCAGAAAACAAGAAGAAAAAAAATATTCTGAACTAATGGACTGTGGACACAGTAGAGGAGGTGACCAAGACTGCTGACCTTTGGGGAGGGAAGGGGGGCGGGTACCTGAACCCACTTCCACGGAGTTGTCCTCCCTTTAGTGCGCGAGAAGCTCTGCGCTTTGTAATAAGTCTGGCGTCTTCTGGGACCTGTCATGTGTCCCAGAAGACGCCGTACCATTCACAAAGCACAGCGCTTTTTGCGCATGCGCACTAAAGGGAGGACAACTCCGCGAAAGTGGGAGCGGGTACCTGTCAAATTCAGGTTCCCGCCCCTTGCTCCCCAAAGGGAAGACTGCGCAGCGCTGGACCGAGGAACAGGTAAGGTCCTGCTGCAGAGCTGAGCGGGCGGCCCAGTGGAAATACCGGACCGGCTGCTCCATAAGACAGACATGTCACCCCCCCCCCCCCCATCTTATGGAGCAAAAAATACAGTATATGCCAACATTTTGCCACAAAGTGTGGGGGGGGGGGGGGGGGGGGAGTCTATTTTTGTGGTGTTACGCCCCCCCATTTAAGTAAACCTGTGCAGATGATTTAAGTCTTACTCTAAATAGTGGCCATCTGGAGGTGCTGTGTCTCTTCTCCTGAAGAATGTAGTTTGATAGAAACCTTATCATGAATGCTGCAAGTAGTAGATTTTATCAAATGAAGCGCACGGGTTCTTGTAATGCTCATGGTAAATCGAGAGAGAGTCTCTCTCTCCCCACAGGAGTTTGAATGGGGTCAGCAGTCCTAGATTTCTAATGCACACTTGAGTTTTTGCTTTGGTGTTTGTCTCGCATTTAGAGAGAATATGGTGATAGTAAGAGAGTATTTGGTGAACGCAAGAGGAATGATTCCTATACAGAAGAGGAGCCCGAATGGTTTTCTGGTGGTCCTACTAGCCAGTCTGAGACAATAGAGCTCACTGGCTTTGATGAGAAAATTCTGGAAGAAGATCAGAAGGGAAGAAAAAGAACACGCAAAAGAACATCTGTGAAAGAAGGCAAGTAATGGCTTTTTTTGGTTCTGTGACTCTTCCTTTTAATAACTCTTGTACATTGACAATCCTCCAAGATCTTAAACGGTCAGTGGCAAACCATTGTAGGCAGGTGACCGTTTCTGCTGTTCAGCTTCACATTCGTGAAGCATACGCTTACATTTCTGGTTGAGTGTTTCCTGACTTTTCTTCCTGACCTTTTTCTTCCAAACAATGTTTAAGCATAACTGGCATTGGTCCATATACAAGTGTGTTGTCTTTGATTAATTTTATTTTTTTAATTGGCGTTTTTTTCTGTTTAAATTAACGAACAGGCATTTGGAACACTACACGAACCTTTTCCAGTAAGTATTAAACCCAAAAGCAAACATTATATCACAGCTTACCAATTCTTGGATATGTCTTTATTGATTTCCTTTGTAAGCTTTCATTTATTTTTCACCTGGTAATACAGCCAGTGTGTGTGTGTGTGTGTTTTTTTTTTTTTTTTTTTTTTTTGTGTGGTTTGTGTGTGGGTTTTTTTTTTTTTCCTCCGGTTATCCCAAAAAACATTTGCTGTAATGGACTATAAAGTATTAGTTTGAGTTCATCTTCAATTTGTTAGTGTACCGCAATCTGCTAGTACATATAGCACTCCCATCCCTCTGATAGCCATGACACTCCTACCCCCCTAGAGTTAAAAAAACAACCTAATACAGCCACCACATCCAATGATTGGTAAGCTGCAATATATTTCTGGGCTTAATATCACTTTAATCACAATACAATGCAGTTGATCTGAAATCTTTCAAGACCCCCTAGACTAACTTTTCATACAGCCTGTTGTGGAAGAACTATAAAATTAAACATTTCATAACAGGACACAAACTTGCAAACACTGTACATAGACACAAGAACTTGGAGGGGGGGTGGAAGGGCTCAAAGGAAAAGAGGTTTTAAACTTGGTTAAGTCACCGGATTGTTCGGGATTTATATAGCGCCAACAGTTGTATTTTTGTATTTGCTAGTGTTAGAGGTAATGTTAGAAGTAATTTTGAGTAGGTGCTCATCAAACAGGGTGTGAGGCCATTCTGTTCCTAGGGAGTCAAGTAATGACAGGGGCATGGGCTACATTTACAGCCACAGACCATTTTGTAGAATGGTGAGATGCCATGAGGAGACAGTTGTGGGCAAAGACTTTTTAACTCTCTAACCCAAAGCAACAAGGGTCATTAACCTCTTGCCCTCCAGAGGATTTACCCCCTTTCCTGACCAGGCCATTTTTTGCAATATGGCGCTTCATTACTTTAACTGATAATTGCGTGTTCATGCAATGCTGTACATAAATGACGTTTGTTTTTTTTGCTATAAACTAAATTTTTTGGGAAAAACAGTATTTTTGACTTTGCTATAAAACCTATCCAATTAAAAAGAAAAAAAAAAAATTCATAATTTTAGGTCAAAATGTATTCTGCTACATGTCTTTGCTTAAAAAAAAAAAAAATAAAATACCAATACGTGTAAATTGGTTTACATGAGTTTTTTTTTTTTTTATAGCATCTACAAATGGCGGTGTGTAGTGCTAATAAACAGCACTGGTACCATACTGATGACACTGAGCAGGAAGGGGTTAACATCTAGGGCAAGCAAGGGTAACTGTTGTGATTACACTGTGTGCTGTTTTACTAGGGAGACATGATGCTTTCTCTCTGCTTTGCAGAGAGCAGCATGTCCATGCTGACAGGAGACGGATCTGTGTTTACACACAGATCTCTCTCCCCTCTCAGCTTTAGTGGAGATCAGAGTGCCGGCCAGGACCCAGTGATTGACATCCGATGCAAGCAATGGCCGCACAGGTAGGGCGGCGCGTGCGCGCCACCTACCTAGAACTGCAAAATCGTGTATATTTACATGGTTTTGTGCAGAGCAGCCGCCCTGTAGCAGTATATCTGCTATAGGTCGGTAGCTAAGTGGTTAAAATGCTTTTCAACCCCAGCACAGATTTACAGGGCTAAAGTGCTATGTACTCTGGACTCTGAAGGGAATTTTATCAAGGGTTTTTAACTTAAGACTTCTTAGTCAAGTTTCCAAACTGTTGAAAGGTTAATAAGTTTGCAGAATCTGAGCTATTCCTGGATGTCTAGGGCCTCTTCTCATTCTGAAACTGTCTCTTACCATGTTTAGTTACAAGGTCTAGTTGTAATGGCCCTGGATAGACCAGTGTTTTGAAAGCCATTTCGTCTAGGCCTGGATGGAACTGGGGAATTTGTCAACTAAACTTGCTCTAGCCCATTCTGGACAATTATGGCATATCGTACCAGGTCCCAAATGTTCAGTGTATTGGCAGTTGTGGGAACTATGGTTGGGGGGGGGGAGGAGAGGTCTGCTTCCTAATGTGACTTGTGATTTCCATAACAATATGCATAGTTTTGTAGCCCACTAGTTTCCTCCAGCTACTGTTATGAAATTTCTAACATGCCCAATCCAAAGCTTTTGCGTAATGAGTCCTCATGGTATTTACCAACTGATAAGTCCAAGTTGGTTTGAATCTAGTGAGAGCTTTAGTTGGAGCTCAGTATATTCTGGGGCTTTTTTTGTCAAGGAACTGAAATCTTGCTGGTAGCAATATCTCTAACATTTTAAAAACCTAGACTAGATATAATGTGATTATTTTTTTTTTTTTTATAATTTCAATATAACATACCCAGGAGAACTGTTCAGTTTAAACTGTCTTTGTTAACATGTCTTCTGCTTTTTCTAAACTGTATAAGGTTCATTATTTCATGGCCTTTTTCTCAGGAATTGAATGTAATGGTGGTGTCTTAGAAGAGGAAGCAGTTCCTATTCAAAGAGAATCGGCTGACCAGGAAGTGCCTCAAGAGGCTGTTCTCCCAGGACCAGCCCCAGGGGAGTTTGACTTTAATGAGTTCTTTAACCTGGATAAGTCTGTCCCTGGCTTGGCATCGGTAAGTGCTGTGGTGTAATGCTCACATTTGTATCTCTAAAAGCACCAAATCTTTGTGGGTATTGTAAGCCTCCATAATGTTGTCTTGGCATGCAATCTTTAAAGCTCTTCTAAGTAATACTTATTGCCTATCTTTTTTGTTTTAAACTGGTGATGGGTAGTCACAGTTTTGCACACAGAGGGTGTCTGATGGTTTTTGTGTTGTGTTTTTTTTTTTTTTTTTTTGTTTTTACCTGGCTTGATATATCACTGAAAGAACTGTTTGTTTTTTTTTTGTTTCTTGCTGAATTGTGTAAGTCCACATTAGACCGTGAGTCATCTTCTATAGGATGTGTATCTGAGGTTTCTGCCCTAGTTTGGGGGGGTATCATTTTGTGAATCTATAGGTTGTCTTGTTTAGCTGGCCTAGGCAGGTTTGGCTCATGTTGTTAATTTTGGTGAAATTCCTGGTGGCTCAGTGCTTTTGAGTTTTGGTAGTCCATGTTTTGTGTTGTGCAGCGTGATTTGGTTCTGTATTGCTATTGTGGTTTATTATACAAATTGCCTTCATATGAAGTAATGTGAATGGTGGGGCATTAAAATCTAAATGCTGGACTTCGGGTTCAAAGCTGGTATTCCAAAGCCACAAAGTGGTCCCTTCACCTACAAGTAAGTGTAACACCATTGGAACTCGTGTCACACTCTCTACATGATCAATCACTTAGTCTGTGTATGTTCTGTTCCTGCAGATGATTGAGGATGTACTAGGAGAAGGATCAATGGCTTCCAGCAGATTTAGTAGATGGTTCTCCAGTAACAGCTATTCTGGGAGTCGATCCAGTAGCCTAAGGTCCACCCCTCATGAAGAACTGGAAAGGCTAGCAGGTAAACTGCTTTCAATATTTTCATTATCTGTTCTGCTAGTCTTTGGTATTTTGTCTTCAAGCCTACTGGGATTTGAAAAGTATTTGATTTGGTCAGTAGATTTGAAGCTTAAATAAATGTGGTATTGTAATAGTAAAATGCTACAGTGAGCGCTCTAAAATAAGCAGCTAAACATTCAAGGAAACCTTGTAAAATGCAGCGCTGACAAATGAAAGGTGCCAATGATACAAATGCACAAACAATATGGTAAAATGAAACGGAAATGCAATAAAGTTCTGTGAAGGTGCTCTCTGCGTTCCCAGTGCATATGGTAGAAATGCGCACTAACCAGAAGCGTATTCATAATAGGTGGTGTCTAATTATCCTAAAGATCCCCCCTCTCTCTGGTCAGAATATGGACTGGAACTGGAGAAAATGAGGAAGAAGCGCCCTCGTGTGGTGAAGATGGGATCCAGAAAGCCAGAGATCCCCTTCCAGGGATGTGTAGATAGGAAATCCTTGATGGTAAAAAAAAACTTTCCCCTCTCTGGAGCTGGTGGATCACATCAGGGCTCTGAAAATTGAAAGGCTCCTCACAGGAAACCGAGGGAAATACTCATAGTGTAGTATAGAAGTTAAATATTAGAGCAAGTAAAGCAGGGATGCAATGAATCGCAGTGTCGGGTAAATACGAATGACTGACCATCCAGTATCTAAGATGGCGGCCGGGCCTCCACGTGGCACCGGCGGTGTTGACGTCACGACGTCCTGGGCTCCACTGACGCGTTTCATGTGCACACACTTCTTCAGAGGTAGAGACGAAGAAGTAGAGACCTCTGAAGTGCGTGCGCACCAAACGTGTCAGCTGGAGCCCAGGACGTCGTGGCGTCACGTCGCTGGTGCCACGTTGGAGGCCTGGCAGCCATCTTAGATACTGGATGGTCAGTTATTCGTATTTACCTGACACTGCGATTCATTGCATCCCTGCTTTACTTGCTCTAATATTTAACTTATATACTACACTGAGTTTTTCCCTCGGTCTCCTGTGAGGAGCTTTTCAATTTTCAGAGCCCTGATGTGATCCACCAGCTCCAGAGAGGGGAAAGTTTTTTTTTTTTTTTTTTTTTTTTTTTTTTTTACCATCAAGGATTTCCTATCTACACATCCCTGGAAGGGGATCTCTGGCTTTCTGGATCCCATCTTCACCACACGAGGGCGCTTCTTCATTTTCTCCAGTTCCAGTCCATATTCTGACCAGAGAGGGGGGGGGATCTTCAGGATAATGAAGACACCGCCTATTATGAATACGCTTCTGGTTAGTGCGCATTTCTACCATATGCACTGGGAACGCAGAGAGCACCTTCACAGAACTTTATTGCATTTCCGTTTTCGTTTTTATTTTACCATATTGTTTGTGCATTTGTATCATTGGCACCTTTCATTTGTCAGCGCTGCATTTTACATTTTTATAATGTGGTATTGCTCACGTGCCAGTGAAGCAAGCACTTGGAGCTTTTAAGAGTTCCAAGTCACCACTGGGTTTATGCAAGAATCTTATTAGCCTTTCTCAGGTTACTTATGAAATATTTGCATTTCCCTCTAATTTCAGGCTTTCTATTCAGCTGGAGTTTTTTTTTCTTTGTTGGGGGGTAGGGAGCTTTTAACTGGGTGCTCAACGGTAACATAACTTTTTGTAGTTTAGAAGCTTGTGTTTTTTTTTGTTTGTTTTTTGTTTTTTGTTTTTTTCTCTCCAATGAGCCTGTGTTTGTTGCAGTTTTTCATGCAGCTGAAGTCTTGTTTTCACACCACGTAAAGGGGTAAACCACGGTACTTCGCAAACGTGCCCATTCTGACAGCTGATTTTGACTGTTGTGCAGCTAAGCAAGCTCCGAGCACTGAAAGTTCAAATTTAACCAAAAAAAATCTGCTCTGCAATTTTTGCATGGAGCATCCCTGATCTGATCTCTCACTGGCACTTCTGGCTCATCCCACCTGCTTGCTCAGGGGGCACTGGTGAGTGCTCGCTCCTGAGCTGCCACTGTGTCCCCAAGTGCAGCTTGCCATTGGCTTATGCTGCTGTCTCTGCCAATGAGGAGCGAGATATCTGGAAGAGCCACTGCTCTCATGCACATCGTTGCATCAAAATTGGACTCTGGTAAGTATAAGTGGGGCTCAGGGAGGAGTTGCACACTGAAGTTTTTTTTTGCCTTTAGTAACCTGAAGCCTTTAGAAACACTTTAAACACTGCAGATTTGAGCACATTTGGATCAAAATATTGACTGCATTGGTGGAGGTCCCTGAGCTCGCCTTCTGATAATGACTGTTTGTGCAAAGGTTTCACCAGAAGAGTATTCTGCTCTTCTGGGAAGAGTGGCCTTGAAGTGGAATGGGTGGTAGAAGTTCCTCCTCCTGTTCTGGTTGTAGAAAAATTGTTGTTCTGGTTTACCTGTAAAAATCCTGTGGGTACATCACAGGACAAGGGTATCTTCATATCCGTTACAGTAGGGTTTTGCTGCCACCCTTAGGTGATTGGTCGGTTACTGGCAAAAAGACAGGAAATCCCTGTGTAACCCTCCCTTGGGCCTTCGGGAAGCTCAAAGAATCAGACTGAATAGCAGCAATGGGCTTCAGGTAATATCTGGTGGCATGAACCACATTCAAGGTGTAAAAAGCATTTTCCCCCCACTGTCTGAGTCTTTTGGATCGGAAGATGGCAAGTGTCCTGGTTGAGGTGAAATAAAGAAACCACTTTAAAAAGGATGGCTGAGGCAATGAAACAACCTTCTCACAGTGGAGCACTGGGAACTTTTCCTGAGTTCCTCTTGTATGAACAGTCAAAGAGCAGCCAGAAAAATAACCTTCCTTGTCAGACTAAAGGGATATCCTTGCATTGAATTCCCACTAAGTTAGTAGCCTTAACCGCTGGAACAATATGCACGACGACTCCTTGCACCAAGGAATGTGAAGCAATCGGCCTCTGGAAAAGTAACGCCAGGACCAAAATCTGACCCATGATTGCACTCGAGGCCAATCCCCGATCAACTCTTGATTACAGCCCACAAAAAACAAGGAAGGAGTCTGAGCCTCGCAAGGACTTTCCAGGTCCTGTGGTAAATCTTCCTTGCCTTTTTAAAATTAACTAATCAGACTCTCCTCTCTCAGGACCCTGGTTTTAACAGGCACGAGTGCATGGGTTTTCTTCCCAAGATGTCATGGCACAGTGTTCTGGGCCAGGCTGGGGCAATCGCTCATCAGAGCACCTTCCACATGAATACTGCAAGCAGAATTTGTAAAGTCTGTCATAAATTGGAGAACTGATCCCACAGTATTTGAAGAGCAAATGCTTGGGGTCTCTAGTCCTGGATGTGGATCTGTCCAGCTCCCATTGAACCTAGATGTCAGAAGGTCCACATCATCTGGCAAACTCAAAGATACTGTGGTTCCCAACAGCGACAGGTTTAATGTGTTTACTCAAACATGTTCACGTTTCTGAAACTGAACACCAATGTCCTGCCCCATCTTTGATGCCAAGATTCAAGTTTCTTGGGATGCTGACATTCTGGATGGAATTTGTGTAGTCATTAGTTGCCTCTCTCCAGCAGTGTGACTCTGGCATCTGTGCATATCAAGGATGCTTATCTGCATATCCCAATATTTTCACATTGGATTCTTGCAACTCGTGGATTTTCAATTTTGTGGTCCTGCCGTTTTTTGGCCTGTCCACAGCTGGCAGACTGTCCTGATAATGCACAACAGCCTGGTGTGCTGGGTTAAGTTCTGGACAATCTCTCAATCCAGGGGACTTGGGCACTGCAGGAGAGATTTTTACCAATTAACATCCTGGAATTGAGGGAGATTTTTTTTTTTTTTTTTTTCTTCTTGCTCTGCTCAGTGCAGCTGGAAGGCCTCCCTGTAAGGGTTCAGTTAGACAATGCTAGTGGCATCAGGGAAGCACCACAGGTAATGACGATTTTAAGTGGATGTACTCTTGTCTTGGTGGCACTTCCTGTCCTGGCCCTGTCAGCTATCCACATTCTGACCTTGAAAACTGCAGGTGGATCTTCTCTGCTGCTAACTACCAGGGGTGTTTGAGGAACTCTACAGAAGGTGCGGAACCCCAGATGTTCTGTTTGCAGTAGATGCTCTGACACTCTGGGATCATTTTTCCCTAACTTTTATTCCTTTTTTTATATTACAGCTTCTTCCTCTGCTTCATGAGGTTTGGTTGGAAGGCATCCTGCTGTCCTGGCTTGGCCCAGGAGAACATTGTAAACATGTTTGATGACTTGTGGTACCCATCTGGAGTGACCCAATCTTCCATCCTTTAGTCACTGACTTTTAACTGTCTGTTGAAGCCAGGGTCTCGAGACGGGGATGTCAAGATTTGCCATTTTTACCTTACTAAAAGGTAGGAAGGCAGCTTCAGGGAAGATTTGCCATAGGACTTGGAAGGAGTTCTGGTGTTCCATCATGACAAGGTGGTTTTACATCCTTTTTTTCCTAAGATGGGTCTCTTCGCTCCATCTTAACCAGGACATTGTGTTGCCTTCTTTCTAACCCATACTTCAGATGCCAGCTGACGATGCACTTCTTATCTTGGATGTGGTGGTTCCTGCAGTCATGTTATCTGAAGTCGACTGCTGAAATTCTGGTTCCCTCTTTGTGTTTCTGAAGGGTCATGCAGCTTCCAAATGTGCCATTCCTCAATGCGTGCGCCAGTTTTCTCAAGCTTATGGCTTAAAGGGCAAGGTTCCACAGCTCTGTGACTCATTCTTCTAGGAGTGTTGGTGCTTCCTGGGTAATTAACCATGCTCAGAGTTATAACTCTTCTACCTCTCCTTCAGTTCATATTGTTACTACCAAGTGGGTGTTCAAACCTCCTGAGGCTGTGACATTTGGTTAGTCTTGTAGGCGGCTGTGTGAGGTTTGGGTCTGTTGGCTTGTTGCCTTCTCCACTTATTCAGTGCTTTGGAACATCCCTATCGTAATGGATATGGAAATATCTTGTGTCCTGAGATGTACAATTAGGAAAATGGGATTTTTGGTTTTCCTATAAATTCCTTGAACATCACAGAACACAGCGATCCCTCTCCTTTTGCTCATGGTTTGCTAAAGAAAAACTGAGGGCATGTCTGGAGGGGGTGCGGGGTGTTTGTGTGTGCCCCCCCCCCCCCTTGCCCCCATCATAATGGATTTTGAAGATGTCCTGTGATCATGGAAAGAATTTTTACAGGTAAACCAAAAATCCAATCCTTCTATATGTAATGACCTCCTAGGAAAACGTGGGAAGCGCATACAGTTTAATTGGCTCTTTGTAAAGAGAAAAGGCAGGACACGTGCACAGTGCTAGAACTAGGGAAGAAATTGATAAAGAAAAAGGGGTTGTAATAAGGGGCAGTGCTGCCCAGGGAGAACACAAGCATGAAGATGGTGATGTTTAAATTTGAGAATTTGTTTCTCAATCTGCTCAAATTTTATGTTCATCTAATGTGTAATGAAGTCTAGCCATTATGAGCTTTATTACAGAAAATATGCATTTTAAGGGATGTGAGCTCACACTATTGTCTTTTGGATACAGGCTTGGAACAAGTTATTCCCTCTCTTGGACAGAATTCTGGAAATTATTTTGCTCCTATTCAATTTGAAGAAAATGCTGACAAAGTTGATATCTTAGAGATGTTTCAGAAAGCCAAATTGGATTTAAAGCCTTTGTTGTCAAACCTTACAGCAAACAAGGAAAAGTTACGGGAGAGCAGTAAGTTTAAATTGGTGAAAGGCTGACAAATTTGTTGGGTGGGGGTGGACAGGTGCATGGTTTTCCTGAAGGTCATTGGTGATCAGAGCAGTCAGTGAGAGCATTTGGTTAATATCTCCCATTTATTGAATACTGAGCACTTTGATTCTGGCATAAAACTTATGGCATAAAGTTAGTTTTCCCCTATACTAGGGGGAAATTCTTTAAACATTATGCTGTGTTCTCTGGATTTTTACTGCTATATGGAATCCTTTTTTTCTTCCACTGAGGGACAAAGGAATCTGGAAACTGTCAGATTATACTTTTACTAGAGGAGGCTGGGACCGAAACTTTTAATCCACCCCATATATACCCCTTTCCTTCTACCCAGCATCCCATAGTTGTTTGCTAGTGTCCTTGGTTGAATACTTTTTTCTTAAGCTATGCTTTTTTTGCTAGCATTCTCCCTTTTGCGGGTTTCAATCAAGATTTTCTTGCTTTTTTTTTTTTTTTTTTTTTTTCATAGCTGCTATCTGGATTAGTATTTCTTTAGCATTTCTGCTGGACTGGATGTGCAGGGCTAGCCTTCTAGGACTGGGCTTTTGCATTGTTGTGCTTTTTTCGAATTTTTTGTGTACTGTTTGGTATCTGAGTGCTTCTCAGGGTAGTTGCACAGCCCCAGGCCTGGAACTGTCTTTGGGGACTTGGTTGGTGAGTAAGTTCAAGCATTGAGGTTATAACACGGAGCTGTGTCTGTGTCCGGGAGAAAAATGGATAAAGTGTCATTCTACTGTGACCAGCCAATGAGGCTGCATAACCCCTGACCCTCTGGACAGTGCTGATTGGCCCTGATCCCATGTACCCTCCCAAAGAAAACTCTCTAACTACACATACCAAACGGAGCAAGTGCAGTGTGACTTCTAGGGCTCTGTATTATCAGCAGATGGTTTCGGGACAGTAAAAGGAGGATCAGAGAAGACTGGATCAAACAGCCTTTTTACATAATGTGGAGGATTAACCCCTTAGGTTCCACAGTGAGTGTAACGTGCATGCTTTAGTGCATATACAGACTTTTTTAAAGGGGGGGGGGGGGAACAAAACTTTGCTAATCAGTGTACATGATGTCAGCAGGGGATCCAGGAGTTAACAGATGGGGGGGCGCAGAAGAGAACTTTATAAGGAGGCCAGTCGAGCACAGTACAGGGGAGCCTGGAGGAAACCGTACTAGAGGACACAATACTAGGGTCTGTAGCAGTTTTCCTCATGCAGAGTAGCTTAGGAAAGCTGCTGGATCATATCTGGCACACTGATCCCCCACTCCTCTCTCTTGTCCTTCCCGAGTTATATTACATACAGGCACCTGGCTGGGATCGGCACAGATGTTAGTCTCACCGTTTTACTGAGAGGAAGCAAACGTTTACTGATCAGACTATAGGTAAACATTATGCTCTGATGGTGGAGAACATCAGTAGGGTGTTTATAAAGATAAATTCAGATTTACTTTTACCTGTCAATTAAGCCTGTGAAGAGATCAAACTATCTATGGTATCCCAGCGATCGCCCAACTGTCGGAGATGCAAGATGGAACCCACAAGCAAACTAATTTTAACCTCTGCCCTGCAGTGACTCCTAGTGGCAGAAATTCAGATTTCTCTTGTCCGAGGACTGCATTGAGTACTGTACAGTGTTACTCTAATTGTATTCCAGAATTTGCTTGTCTTTAGCTAAGAATTTTACGTAAAGTCTCATCTTTGATTAAGGTCTTCACTTTTTTTTTTTTTTTTTTTTTTCCCTACCAGTCTTGTGGGTAATTGGCTATCAGCACTTTGGAATATCTGGGTACGAACACCCTAAACACTCTTCTGCCTCTTCACCCCCTGATTAACTTCTGTTGCTAAAAACCCATTTTGAAGAAGGAAAGGGGGGGTTCTGACTTTAGCAGAGTCACCACATGCTGTCTACTGTGGATGCCTTGGTTGAAGCAATAGTCTAGTTTCTGCGTAGAGCTACCTAGTAGAGGGTTTGTGTGTGTGTGTGTGTTTTTAATTTTTTTTTTTGACAATTTTTGATTGCTCATGGCAGACTGGGCTGGCGTAATCTATGGTGCAGTTTCTCTCTATCTCCTCATCCATCCTTATTTTGCCCCCCCCCCCCCCCCCCAAAAAAAAAATCACCCAGGTCCAGTAGCTTTTGCTGCAAAAATACAGGTTTTGCCTTCAGCACTGCTCTCCTATGTGGACCTGGTCAGCAGAACGCCTTTGTCAAATGTTCCTTTTGCGCATGCCCTTCAAAGGCATACTACTCCCTTGAGGAATACATGGAGGTGGGTCATAGCCGTTTTCTACTTAACTATCCTATCTCACCACCTTGTTCTATGGGCCTCTCCTGCCATGTGGACAACTTGTTTCCCTCCTGAGGGAATCTTGTACTATAGCTCCTTGTGAGGGGGAGGGGGAAGGGTGACTGATGTCTTGTCCCACCTTTTTTGTACCGACACCCTGAGCTTTTAGTCTCTCCTTTAGAGAGGTGCACTCAAGGACAGAGGTCTGCAGGGGGGTGTGTGGTTTTTGTTTTCTCTAGATGTTTTAAAAAATCCTGCAGTGACACTGTCTATGCAATGAATCATGCCTCACGATGCTCTCTAGAACCTCTTTACTGCAGTAACCAGCCTCCTGTAGATAGACTGATTATCAAGTCTACTGCAACAGAGTGACTTGTCTGCTATAGACATAACATGTTCATTGGAAATCTAAAAGCAACTGTAATGGGTTTCAGTTTTATTTCCCATCTCTCCATACTTGAATGTGGTTAACATGGATGGAACTCCATCATTTAGACCCCCCATGGTAATTCTTTGACCATAGGCACGAACACTGATCTCCCTTTTGGGGGGGGGGGGGGTTATGGCTGGAGCCTCATAGTAGAATAGGGTTACATGGGTACACTGGGGGAGTGGTTCCCAGCAAAGCTTTTGCTAGTGTCTAACCACCTGAAGGTAGGTGTATAAACCCATGGTCTAAGAATCTGCTTATAAATGTGCTTTTATTTTAAATCCGGAGCCTGTAAAGCATTGCATCCTCATGTGTGCAATGGCAGGCTCCCACACTGTCAGTACAGCTATCTGCCTGTACCTTCATATGGGCGGACAGTTACTGAAGTCCAGGAAGATCACCAGCACCCTTGCAGTTAATTGAAAACTACGAACTGTCTGCAGCGTCTATATTTGTATTGTGACAGCAGGTCCTGGGCGAGGATCCCCCTGTCCACTTTAGTTTGGAACGTGAAAGCACCCCTTTCAACTTTTGCTCCATGAGGATTGCACAGAATACTGCCATCGATTCATCCCTGCTACTTTGCTGCCTGGATCTTAACAGTGCTACTTTTCACTTTCCAAACTAAAGGAACATTACACATTCATGGCCACAGGGGCTGTCAAACTACTGCTCTCCAGGAAGCTAATAACCTAAAGGAGTTGCCTGAAGCTACTGCTGACATTACTACCATAGTTTAACTAGCACAATAGTTTGTTTTGGGTTGGGAGTCTGCTGTAATTTGGATATGGAATTTACAAATTCCTGTTTTTGAGGACCTGTGCTTGGGCTGAACCTGTTTTGCTTAAGTGCACACGTTTTTATGTACTTTAAAGAATCACAGACCTAGAACAAATGTGCCGATTTAGAGTGAAGCTGATTCTTAATCTACATACTTGAGGTCAGTGACTTGAGTATTTTGAAGTACATTAATAGGTGTGATACGCAGGGAATTTTGTGTTTTTAGAAGGAAGTATTTTTCAGTGGCACCTTCTATATTACTCAATGAACACCAAGCTTGGGGTCTTTTTTTTTTTTTTTTTTTTTTTTTTTTTTTTTTTTTTTTTTTTCTTTGTAGTAGGTTGTAACATGAGCTACTCCTAAGAAATCTTGGTTTTTTTTTTATGAATTTTTATATATTAATTTTTTTTTTTTTTTTTCCAATGTAGCACATTCAGGGGTGGCATTGTCAGTGGAACAGGTTGAAGCTGGACTTAAAGGTTTGAAAGTAGAACAAGAGAACAAGATTGCAACTCCTTTTATGGCTGAACAATTGGAGGAGGCATTGACTGCTATGACTGGCCCAAGGAAAATACAGAAGGATGGTGATATGTCTGCTTTTAACAAACTTGTTAGCAGCATGAAGGCAAGTGGGACGCTGCCTTCTCAACCCAAAGTCAATGTAAGTATTTGCACCACCAAAGTTTCAGAAGGTGACTGAGCGACCTTGTAGGTGTTTGAGAAAGATTTGTCATAGCTCCTTGTATACAGCCTTGAAGTAAGGCACTGTCTGCTTAATTCTATGCACCTCTTATTAGTGTTGACACTTTGAGGTATTTCTTGGACGTATCTTTAGTAAATGTTTAAATCTTTTACTTGAATTTGCTCGGTCAGCTTGTTTGTGGTGTTGCTAAGGAGGGCTTTGACATTGATATGGCATTTATACCTCTCCTGTTAATGTGACATATCTTGCCTGGTTTATGAAAAATCCCCCCCTCCTCCCCCTTATGTATTGGTGTGCACTTTTTTTTTTTAAAGGGATGTCACTCTGGGTGCAGTTGGTGGATAATTGGACTGCAACTTTAAATCCACAGTATATTTTAATCTTGCCATTTTAACTTCTTTTGATTCTCTTTAGCGGACCCTAGATGGCCATTTGATATCTTCCTCTGATGTTGCTGGTCAGTCTCCTCTTCAGAGAAATATTCTTCAGGTATAGTGTTTCAGTGTGTTTATATTTTCTGAATTCAACCAGACTTGCTAGTCATTGGTGATTTGATGGTTAAATGCTTTCCTTGTTCTGGACAGGAGCTTCTTGGCCCTCCAATACCCGATCCGTCCTCTAGTGTCCTCAACAATGTTTTGGGAACACTGGATCCTACAGTGTCTATGCTACGGCAACGGACACCTTCTCCTCAGATGCCACAAGTGTTCCCCACACGTGCCTCCTCTGCAGACTACCTTCGAAATAGAGTACCTTCTCCACTAGGCAAGTGTATTGTGGTGTTTTTTTTTTTTTGTTTTTTTTTTTTTTTTTTTTTTTTTTTTTCTCTATCTACAGTCAGTACCCCATAATGACAAGGTCAAAACAGAAATTTTGGTTGCATTTGTTACCTGATATTTGCGCAACTGTTAAACACACATTTTCAGGAAATAATAAATATTATGTATTTTTAGTGCAAACGCAATATAAATGTTTTGGTCAAAACACGTTTCAACGAGTAAATAAAAAAAAAAAAAAAAAAAAAAATTCCAATTCTTAGCCCTTTCACGCGTGTTTAAAAAAAAAAATTCTTTCAGGCTTGAAGATTGGACAACCGCCGCCCCAAACATGATTTCTGAAAGCAGACACCCTAGAGAATAAAATAGTGGTAGTTTCAATTTATGCCGCACGATATTACCACAAATGTCTAGGAAACACAATTTCAGTAAAAAAACACACTAAAGTGAATTTTAGGGCAAACGAATGCAATAAGTTAACCAAATTTTTTTTTTTAATTAAATGTAAAAGATGAGGTGGTGCCCTCATACCCAACATACCAAACCTTAAATTGTGTGCGCCTATGGAAAGTGACAGCTGTGGCCCAGAAGTGACATAGTTCACGCCACCTTCTAGGACCAGCACCCACAGATGGGGCCTGGTTACTTGACGAGCTGTGGAAGCGATTGGGCAGCAGCAGAGTGCCTGGCTGCTTCCACCTGATGGGTAGGTGTCTGCCTGTCGGTATTATACACAATCCCAGTGGCTACAATGTACTGGCCTGGCAGCAAAAGTTAAAATTGTGTGCCCATGATATTGGGTGACACTTTAAAAGCCTTTACAGCTCATCAGTTTGGAATGGATTAGGAGCTCTTCTGCTAGAATTATTATTTTCAATCTGGCGTTTGCAGTGATGTTTATAAACCCCTATGTCAGCTATCACTAAATGGCGGTCCGCAAACGGCCCCAGCAGTGCTGCTTCCCAACCCGCAATGATAGATCTGCCGCTGAGCAAGGTGGTTATCATGGCAACATGACATAACATGTGCCGCTCCCCATTCAGCTCACTGTCTCTGGCTCCCGCTCCCTGCCTGTACAGCAAGGATCCCGGCACAGCTCCTGTCTGCCCTCAAGGTAGGGTGTAGTCTTACAGGGACACTCTGAACACATTGAATGTTAAGGGGCAAGCTAATGGGCACAACTTAGAATGTGCCCATCAGAGTGACCCTTAATATGCATGTGCCCATCAGAGTGACCCTTAATATGCATGTGCCCATCAGAGTGACCCTTAATATGCATGTGCCCATCAGAGTGACCCTTAATATGCATGTGCCCATCAGAGTGACCCTTAATATGCATGTGCCCATCAGAGTGACCCTTAATATGCATGTGCCCATCAGAGTGACCCTTAATATGCATGTGCCCATCAGAGTGACCCTTAATATGCATGCATGTGCCCATCAGAGTGACCCTTAATATGCATGTGCCCATCAGAGTGACCCTTAATATGCATGTGCCCATCAGAGTGACCCTTAATATGCATGTGCCCATCAGAGTGACCCTTAATATGCATGTGCCCATCAGAGTGACCCTTAATATGCATGTGCCCATCAGAGTGACCCTTAATATGCATGTGCCCATCAGAGTGACCCTTAATATGCATGTGCCCATCAGAGTGACCCTTAATATGCATGTGCCCATCAGAGTGACCCTTAATATGCATGTGCCCATCAGAGTGACCCTTAATATGCATGTGCCCATCAGAGTGACCCTTAATATGCATGTGCCCATCAGAGTGACCCTTAATATGCATGTGCCCATCAGAGTGACCCTTAATATGCATGTGCCCATCAGAGTGACCCTTAATATGCATGTGCCCATCAGAGTGACCCTTAATATGCATGTGCCCATCAGAGTGACCCTTAATATGCATGTGCCCATCAGAGTGACCCTTAATATGCATGTGCCCATCAGAGTGACCCTTAATATGCATGTGCCCATCAGAGTGACCCTTAATATGCATGTGCCCATCAGAGTGACCCTTAATATGCATGTGCCCATCAGAGTGACCCTTAATATGCATGTGCCCATCAGAGTGACCCTTAATATGCATGTGCCCATCAGAGTGACCCTTAATATGCATGTGCCCATCAGAGTGACCCTTAATATGCATGTGCCCATCAGAGTGACCCTTAATATGCATGTGCCCATCAGAGTGACCCTTAATATGCATGTGCCCATCAGAGTGACCCTTAATATGCATGTGCCCATCAGAGTGACCCTTAATATGCATGTGCCCATCAGAGTGACCCTTAATATGCATGTGCCCATCAGAGTGACCCTTAATATGCATGTGCCCATCAGAGTGACCCTTAATATGCATGCCCATCAGAGTGACCCTTAATATGCATGTGCCCATCAGAGTGACCCTTAATATGCATGTGCCCATCAGAGTGACCCTTAATATGCATGTGCCCATCAGAGTGACCCTTAATATGCATGTGCCCATCAGAGTGACCCTTAATATGCATGTGCCCATCAGAGTGACCCTTAATATGCATGTGCCCATCAGAGTGACCCTTAATATGCATGTGCCCATCAGAGTGACCCTTAATATGCATGTGCCCATCAGAGTGACCCTTAATATGCATGTGCCCATCAGAGTGACCCTTAATATGCATGTGCCCATCAGAGTGACCCTTAATATGCATGTGCCCATCAGAGTGACCCTTAATATGCATGTGCCCATCAGAGTGACCCTTAATATGCATGTGCCCATCAGAGTGACCCTTAATATGCATGTGCCCATCAGAGTGACCCTTAATATGCATGTGCCCATCAGAGTGACCCTTAATATGCATGTGCCCATCAGAGTGACCCTTAATATGCATGTGCCCATCAGAGTGACCCTTAATATGCATGTGCCCATCAGAGTGACCCTTAATATGCATGTGCCCATCAGAGTGACCCTTAATATGCATGTGCCCATCAGAGTGACCCTTAATATGCATGTGCCCATCAGAGTGACCCTTAATATGCATGTGCCCATCAGAGTGACCCTTAATATGCATGTGCCCATCAGAGTGACCCTTAATATGCATGTGCCCATCAGAGTGACCCTTAATATGCATGTGCCCATCAGAGTGACCCTTAATATGCATGTGCCCATCAGAGTGACCCTTAATATGCATGTGCCCATCAGAGTGCCCATCAGAGTGACCCTTAATATGCATGTGCCCATCAGAGTGACCCTTAATATGCATGTGCCCATCAGAGTGACCCTTAATATGCATGTGCCCATCAGAGTGACCCTTAATATGCATGTGCCCATCAGAGTGACCCTTAATATGCATGTGCCCATCAGAGTGACCCTTAATATGCATGTGCCCATCAGAGTGACCCTTAATATGCATGTGCCCATCAGAGTGACCCTTAATATGCATGTGCCCATCAGAGTGACCCTTAATATGCATGTGCCCATCAGAGTGACCCTTAATATGCATGTGCCCATCAGAGTGACCCTTAATATGCATGTGCCCATCAGAGTGACCCTTAATATGCATGTGCCCATCAGAGTGACCCTTAATATGCATGTGCCCATCAGAGTGACCCTTAATATGCATGTGCCCATCAGAGTGACCCTTAATATGCATGTGCCCATCAGAGTGACCCTTAATATGCATGTGCCCATCAGAGTGACCCTTAATATGCATGTGCCCATCAGAGTGACCCTTAATATGCATGTGCCCATCAGAGTGACCCTTAATATGCATGTGCCCATCAGAGTGACCCTTAATATGCATGTGCCCATCAGAGTGACCCTTAATATGCATGTGCCCCATCAGAGTGACCCTTAATATGCATGTGCCCATCAGAGTGACCCTTAATATGCATGTGCCCATCAGAGTGACCCTTAATATGCATGTGCCCATCAGAGTGACCCTTAATATGCATGTGCCCATCAGAGTGACCCTTAATATGCATGTGCCCATCAGAGTGACCCTTAATATGCATGTGCCCATCAGAGTGACCCTTAATATGCATGTGCCCATCAGAGTGACCCTTAATATGCATGTGCCCATCAGAGTGACCCTTAATATGCATGTGCCCATCAGAGTGACCCTTAATATGCATGTGCCCATCAGAGTGACCCTTAATATGCATGTGCCCATCAGAGTGACCCTTAATATGCATGTGCCCATCAGAGTGACCCTTAATATGCATGTGCCCATCAGAGTGACCCTTAATATGCATGTGCCCATCAGAGTGACCCTTAATATGCATGTGCCCATCAGAGTGACCCTTAATATGCATGTGCCCATCAGAGTGACCCTTAATATGCATGTGCCCATCAGAGTGACCCTTAATATGCATGTGCCCATCAGAGTGACCCTTAATATGCATGTGCCCATCAGAGTGACCCTTAATATGCATGTGCCCATCAGAGTGACCCTTAGGGGGGGCATACTGTGGGAAGGGGCACTCTGATGGGGGAAATATGATAGAAACTGGTACTTGAGTGTAAGGGGGAATGCTGACGGGAATACCTGATGTAAAGGAGCACTCTGATGGCGGCACCTAATGTAAAGGGGCATACCCTATTCGGACCTCGGCCAGAAGAAAATTTTCGTGACTGGAGCTCCTTTTGAATTTTAATTCAATACCCCTATGTGATAACATTGCGTAGGTGACAGGTGTTCTTTATGAATACATTTAGTGGTCTAATAGACCCGAATGTCTCCCCTGCCCTTAATACCATCTAACCAAGCACAGATTGGCTTGGTTAGATGTCTTCCCTGGCTGTCCTGGCCTGGAAATGCTGCATCTGAAACTAGAAATGATATAAATTCCGGTTTCATTGTTTACATGTGAGATTGAGGCATGGATTTGCCTTGGTCTCGCAAAGCTGTTCCTCCAATCGCCAGCAGTTGTGTTTCCAGGCTCTTGAAAGAGCGGGAGAGCCCAGGAGCCATGGGAGGTGGGGACTTTCAAGCCCGTTAAACAAAGCCCACACAAGCTGATGGCTGCTATGAGCTTGTGATTAAGGCTGGGTTCACATGTGCGGGTGGCGCCGCTGCGGATCTGCACAAAAATCTGTGTAGCCTCACCACCCACACAGAAGAATGCGGACCCGCGGGTGGGTGCCATTATCTGGAATGCACGCTGCCCACACTGGAAATCGCAACCGCACTGGGAACCAAGGTTCCCGTGCGGGCTGTGGTTTCCAAAGAAGTGCAGGGACTTCTTCCCTGCGTGACAAATGAATGGGCTCTCGTGGCCGCGTATGTGATCCAGGGCTTAAGGTTCACTCTTTGGGATGTACATTGTGTATGCCCAAAGAGCACAAGTGGTTCAATTGGTTGGCCATGATTTGGAAAGGCACACACCTCTCTACTATATCAGAGCAAAAGCCATGAGGTCAAAGGAACTGCCTGCAGAGCTCAGAGATGGGATTGTTGTAAGGCACAGACCTGGGGAAGGCTACAAAATTCTGCTTTTATACATTTTGCAAACATTTCTAAAATTTGGTTTTCATTTGGTCATTACGGGGTACGGAATGTAGATTAATAGGGAAAAACAATGAATTTTAAACAACTCCTAGTAGCGGGCTATAACATAACAAAATTGAAAAGCGTGAAGGGAGTCTGAAATTATTTTATGAATGCACTGTATATTTCTGGTCACTTTGGTATGTTTAAAGGTGCACTCTATGGGGGGTTGATCGGGTCATTTGAGGTAGCAATAAGACCAGGGCTATTTTGCTACTGTTTGTTTGTTTTACATGTAAAAATCTGTGTGTGGGTTTTTTTTTTTTTTTTTTTTTTTTTTTTTTTTTTACTTAGAACCTATATCTCTCACGAGAGATGCATACATCAATAGAAAAAAGTGAGTGCTCAGAGCAGCTACCACAAAAGTTACTTTTTTTCAAATGTCACTTTTTAATGACTTAATGCTCAAACACAAAATACCCAATTGTTTTGGTGAAAAAAAAGTTATTAGAAGTAAAGACTCGGCATGTCACGCTTCAAAATTTGGCACACGTGTGGTATGGTGCCAAACCTACTTAACGAATCTCCATAGGTGACTTTTTTTTTTTTTTATTTAAGTCCTTTACAGGTTTAGAGTTGCACAGGTTGTCTGGAGCTAGAATTGGTGCTATTGCTATAACGTTCGTGGTGATGTGATCGCATGTGCGACCTATGTATGCAATCGTGTGTGTGTGTGTGTGTGTGTGTGTGTGTGTGTGTGTGTGTGAGCGAGCACAGTAGGGACGGGGGACACTTTTAAAATGTTTTTTTTGTTTGTTTTTTTTTTGGGTATTGAGCACCGGTCAAGTTTTACTGCTGTCTGTGTCCCCAGTAGTGAGATTTATCCTCTGTCCCGTTTACCGTTTATGGAGGCTCTGTTCACACTTGTGCGACTTGTCATGTGACTTTGGACACAGTCCCATGACAAGTTGCAGCCCATGGTCTTCAATGGCCCCCTTTTGGTTCTATGCAACTTAGTCAAAGCAACTTTGAAAAGGTTCCTGCAATGCTTTGATGCGACTTGAGTGCCAGAGTGTAGTGTCTCACTGGAAATTTTGCCACTTTGGAATCAAGTGTGAACAGAACCTGAAAGGTTTTAAAAAAAAAAAAAAAAAAAAAAAATCCCAAATTTTGAGTTGCCCCCAGAAACGTAATAGTGTTTATCTTCCAATGGGGATAATATAAAGGATTTTTGTGTTGGCAAGAGACAGGAAGTAAAGATCACTCCATTGGGGCACAAAAAACTTATAGGGGTTATAACCCCCCCTTACTCTATCCAAAATCAAGAAAAAAAAAATTGCCTCTAGTTCTACTTCCAATTTAATATTTGGCTTCCAAATTCTGGCTGAGATTGAGTTGTTCAGGGGCCAACAGAACAAAGATATATGTAGATGGACCTAGTTCTCCTTCAGCCAGGTATGGAGGGTTACCTTGCAGTCTGCATCCCTTAGAACATGATCCACCTGTGTATTAAGTCATTCACTTTTATTTCCCCCTACGCAGGTTTTCCTTCTAGTCCTCAACTTCTAGGAGAACCGTTTCCCACTGGAATATCTAAAGCTGACAGCCCAGTCATGGCACAGGTAAAGCCTTGCGTCTCACACATGCTATACCTAGTGTTTTTCAGCTCTTCATCCTATAGTAAATGCATGCATTTGGGGGGGAAGCTGTAAGACCACTTTTTTTTTTTTTTTTTTTCTTTCCTATAATGCTGGTATCTGACTCCAATCTTTCCTCTTGCAGTGCTACAACCTCTGCTAGAGCTTTTCAGCATTTTGAAATCTTCAGAATGCAAATAGCCCCCCACCCTGGGGGTCTTTGGTTTCTCTGCAGATCTTGTGTGAACCTTTGTTTCCCAAAAATGCACCCCTAATTGGGCAGAGGTGGACTTGAGACCCCTTTCATACAGGGTGGACTCTGACTGCAATCAGCTTGCTCTGCAGGGCAATTGTGCGCTGAACGGGTGGACGATAGGTCCGCATCCACTGTGCTTATGCAGAGTACGCACCACTTGATCTCCTTTTGTGGGCAGTTGGGTGTAAATGGAGAGGCAGTCTGTGTACATCTGACTGCCATCCAATCTGAAGGAGAACCATCTGCCAGTTTTTTGGCAGATGGGATTGGATGAAGGGCAGTGTAATAGGACACGCCAGTTTACACCTGCCACTCCATAGAGGAGGATGGAGGTTCCAAAAGCTTAACAGGAGGACCCGATTGAAACATCTGTGTGACGGGCCTTTATTTGCTCTTGATCGGTCACTGTGGTCAGTAGGCCAAGAGGGCACTGTATGCAAACCTTGCATACATCAGCAGGGACGGCCTGTAGCACTTCCAGTCAGTGCAGGTTTCTGGGGGCAATTATCTTAATACAGTGTACTAGGTGAATTTGGCAGTGTGGCGCTCGCAAACCTGATGTTACCACTTCTGAAATCCTCTTTTCCTAAAGTTGCTGGTTTTGAGTCTTGGCTACCAAAAAAATCCGTAGTGCTGTCCAGTGCACCCTGGCATTTGCTTACAGCTACTGGCATGGCTGTTTGAAACCCAGGTCCTGAGCGATGGTGGTTTCTGGCTCTGTGATCCCTACCGTTCTCAAGGCTAGAAAGTCTACCTATAGATGGGTGTACTGTAGTACACAGGAAGTGGTTTATTCGCCTGGAGGAATGCTTGAAAATTGAGAAACAGCAAAAAAAAATTGACTAGTTATGGACTCAACCAGAATAGGGGATTTGTATATATGTAAATACTAACGGGTAATAATTCAAAAGGATTGAATGAATTATTACCCTTTTTTTAGTATTTACATATATACAAATCGCCTATTCTGGTTTAGTGCATAACTAGTCCAATTTTTTTTTTTTTTTTTTTTTTTTTTTTTTGTAGTTTCTCAGTAGTTTTTGTCTAGGGACTCCCGAGTTCATTCCCCCCTCCTCCCCCCCTCCTCTCTCTATTTAGGTATCTTGAGGCTTCTCTTGGCGGTCTTGTAAATTTAATTCCCAAACCGCATATCATGGGGTGCATTTTTGTTTTTCTCCATTCTGGTGTGGAAATGTTTCTGGCTTGCAATACCATTAAGAAACAGATTTCAACCTTCAATATTTTATTTTAGATACCTATTGTGTCTCGGCTTACATTGCAAAAGCTACTGTGAGCAGGAGCCTACCTGCTCTCAGTCCTTTTATTTTATTGAAGAAAAAAAAATTACTTTTACAAACCTCTTTAAAAGATGTTTTACTTGCCTGTTCTATTGCCAGAGCAGCCCCGAACCACCTCTTCTGGGGTCCACACACCGGTGCTCTGCAGGCTACCTCTTCATGTGCCGCTGCTTCCTATGGTGGCACACGTGCAGACCTGCTCATGAGCTAGGCTGTGTGTGTCCATAGACGCAGAGTGCAGCTTGGCTTCTGTCTCACAGGATTTGACTTCACCCCCCCCGTTTTCAGTTGTGCCCCTCATCCTCATTGAAAGCTGTCCCTATTGGGCTTGTCCCATTCCTGTACTGCTCAGCCTCGGTACCAGCAGCACGGCTTCTCTCCCCCTCCAACACACAGCTCAGATTGATTCTCTTACAGACACCTTTTATCTGCACACTGCTATGCTGCACATTTTTATCTGGGAACTTCACATGTCAGAACTGCAGCATAGCACGCGCTACACAGCTTGCAGATAAAGGCTAGCTACAATCCCTGGCAAAAAGTATGGAATCACCACTCTTGGAAAATGTTCATTCAATTGTTTAATAGTGTAGAAAAAAAAAAAATATTCAGACAAGCCTCATAACAATTTTTCATTTTAACATTCCAACCTTCTTTTGCCCTATAGCAAGATGCATTAACCTGTAAAATGTCATCACCAAACATACTTTCAATTGATGGAATAAGAAAAGTGTCAAAAATCTCATAAACATGCAACCCCATGTCATCAGTGATTGTAGAAATTTGCATGCTTTCTTCAGGCAGTTGTCTTTATACATTTCTTTGGAATGGCACCAAACAAACGTTCTAGCATAATCACCCTGCCCAATGCAGATTTATTATTCATCACTGAATATCATCTTCATCCAGTCATCTACAGTCCATGATTGTTTTTCTTTAGCACACTGTAACCTTGTTTTTCTGTTTAGGCTGTTTGATTTTTCGTTTTGGCTTTCTGTATCTAAATCCAGTTTCCTTTAGGTGATGTCTTAGTTTGGTCAGACATTGACTCCAGTTTCTGCCCATTTGTTCCTAATTTGTTTTGTTGTGCATTTTCTGTTTTCAAGGCATATTGCTTTAAGTTGTCTAGCTTGACGCTTTGATGTCTTCCTTTGGTCTACCAGTAGGCTTCCCTTTTACAACCTTCCCATTTTATTTGTACTTGGTCCAGATTTTAGACATAGCTGACTGGGGAAAAAGCAACATCTTTTGCTACATTCTGTGGTTTACCACCTTGAAGTTTTATAATCTTCTTTGTTTCAACTTTTGTATTTCAATGGTTTTTATTAATTTATAAACCTTTCAAGAAGATGTGAGCAAAAAGACACGCCCACGCAGCAGCTATCAGTTGCACATAAAAAGTAAAGAAAACAGTGCTCTAACACACAGTAAAAGGTGTGCCCATGCAGGGGCTATCAATTGCACATAGATTGCCAAAACAGTGATATAACACTGACCATAGCTCAAACCAAAGGCAGCTATCCACCGCCTCACAAAAGACAAATAAAAATAGAAAGGAAAGAGGAATAGAAAAGGAAGAAAAGACCAGAAGCAGGGGTCCGGGAACGCCAATACCAAGCAACATCACAAACCCAGACTAGCCGGGGGGAGTGTGGGAAAAGCATGCGTCCACCACAGCTCCCATATTTTAAAAAAAAATTCTGTTTGGGAGTCATTACAGATACTCGACATCTGTTCATTGAGTCCCTGAAGAGGGACAGACGGGGTTTTCCATGCCTGAGCAATTGTTCTAGTGGCTGACGAGAACAAATCGGAAGCCAACTTCTGCTGGTGAGCCAACAGGCCTGGTATGGGACAATGACGCCAAGCAGTGATGTTGCAATAGGGGCACAATTATGTAGTTCCAGCAGCACTCAGAACGGAACGTCCCAGGAAGCATGCAACAGACAGTGGGGTGGTCTTGCTCACCTGATGATACTTGGTTACATTTAGACACCCCTAGACCTCCCTGGAGTCTATGCACAAAGTGTATTTCTGGAGCACCTGTTGGCCCAGATAAATCGCATAATCCTTGCCTGAATCAACCGAAGGAAATGAGGAACCCGCACTGGGAGAGTGTGAAAATAGTACAATTTAGGCAGGATGGTAATTTTCACTGAATTAACCCATCCTATCCAAGACTGGTGTGGCAATTGCCAGGAGTGCATAAGATAGGACACAGAGTGAATCAATGGATAATTCGCAGCAAACAACGAGCCATAGGTGGGGGTCAAGCAAATGCCTAGGTATTCAAGTTTAGAGGAATCCCATTTGTAAGGGTAGTGGGATTATAGGTGTGAAACCAAATCTGAGGTCAAAGTAATTGAGAGTGACAGTCTTATCCAAATTAATATGGAGGCCTGAAATAGAGGAGGAACGTGCAAGAAACTGTTGCAAATTTGGGAGCGTCGTCAGGATTGAATCAAGAGGGCATAGTCCCAAAAAGGTTCAACTTGAATTCTTGTCCCGCATATGGAACACTTGGTATATTTCAATCGGCCTGGAGCGCTAAAGCCAGCGGCTCAAGCGCCAGGGCAAAGAGGGACAGGGCATCCCTGTCTCGTCCCTCACCAAATAGGAAAGGGATCTGAGAAATATCCAGCGTATTTAGCCAAAGGGGAAGAATACAAGGCTTGAATCCAAGAGAGCAAATATAGTCCCCAATGAGATGGCACAAACTGCAGATATTCCCAGGATGGAGAATCAAAAGCTTTGTCTACTGACAGAATTTCGGGATTTTCCGCTGTTGTATAAGGTGGACCACTATGAACGTTATTACCCGCCTGCCTCCCAGGGACAAAACAGACTTTGTCCCTGTGGACCAGACTACACAAATATTTATTGATACGAAGATTAAGGATCTTGCCCAATATCTTCAGATCTTCATTAAAAAGAGAAATGGGCCGAAAGGCTTGCGGTTCCTGCACATCATCTGTCTTGGGAATTATTTGAGATATGAGCTCTGAGCACGTCCGGAGATGGCAAAGAGCCCTGTCGTAACTCATTGAAATAATCTGCCAAGACTGGCACCAACAGGGTCACAAATTTCTTTTAATAGAGACTGAAAAGCCGTCAGGACCTGGGGCCTGGGTGGACCATAGATTTGATAGTGTGAAGCACTTCCAATACAGTTACACCGGCGTTGAGGGCCATCTGCGCCCCTTAGAACAATCCAGGAAGTCGGAGATCTTGAACACCTCTGCCTGAGCCACAGGGAAGGGATCTGGTTTAGTGTAAAGGTGTGAAAGGAAGTCTGCGAAATGGGAAACAATCTACTGGGGATTGGAAGTACAGCCATCCGCAGGAAGTCTCAATTGGATTGGTTTGTGGGCTTTCCCCACAGAATTGTTTCCTGTCCAGCATCAGACCCGGCTTATTAGCTCAGGAATAATTTGTTTGGTCTAACACAGGGTTCGTTCAGCCTCCAAAGAAACAAGTAGGTCCAACTCTGCAGCCAGAGCGTTCCGCGTGTGTTTGTGCCGCAGATGGGAGTGACTTCTACCGAGCATCCACAGAGGCCAGTAGAGAATGAAGATCCAAAAGACTGCACTCCTGCTTCCAAGCAGCTGCCAGCTCTATGTGACCCCTCACCGTGGCTTTATGCACCTCCCACAAGGGCACTGCTGAAGAGACAGATCCCGAGTTTTCTGCAAAGTATGTATGTAAGATTCTATTTGTTGGCAGGTAACCTGAGTGGTCAATAAAGATTTGTTAATGCGCCAGTGAAAGGGGCGCTGTACCGACCCCAAGAGGGCAAGGAGTAGAAACACGGGAGCGTGGTCCAACCAGGGCGAGGAGGGGATAAATATCCGCCTGAGCAAGGAAAGCTGTTGGACATGCATAAATACGTGGTCAATTCTGCAGAAACTGTCATGGGGATTTGAGTAGAATGTAAAGTTGGGTGAAGTTTTCCCCCAAACGTCTGCCAGCCCTGCCGTCTGCAAGAGAGTGCATACGTTTCTCTAGCATGTGAGAAGGGGATGCCCCCAAGCAAATGGCACCTATCCAAAGTAACATTTGCACCATCATTTCCCGACACTCCAAGGGTCTTCTTTTGGGAGATTCAAAGATGAGAAAAAAATTTTTATGCTGAAAGCAATTGGGGACGTAGTAAGACACAAAAGTAACCTCCTGGTCCCAGAGGGTGCACTGTAGGAGCAAGTACCTGCCCGTGGGGTCTGCTATATTCTGAGCAGACTAAGGGGAGATTGCGTTTGAAAGCACAACCCGTCATTTTTCCGGAGCCGAGGCCATGTAAAAAGTGGTAATAATGAGGCGAAAGATACCGTGGGGCGGAGGACTGGGAGAACCTGGTTTCCTGCAAACATACGTCAATTTTGTTGCGATTTGAGGTGATGAAAAACTTTAGACGCCTCTAAGGCGAATTGAAGCCTTGAATATTTTGTGCATGTACTTTCAAGAGGAATGAGGCCATGGTGGGATCGGCGTAGCACGCTTGGCAGAAGAAGCCTAAGTCGGCCAACAATTTCCACTTCCAGGGACGGTCGGACCATGGCGCCACGAAACCCTGCATAAAACAAAAACTGAAGGACCAGAAAAGAAAACAAGGAAAGAAAAGACATAAGGAGTAAGTACAATAGCAGTCGTATCACACCAATGGGGAAGTGCATCCTACACTTGAAGGATACCAGTTGGGGGGTGGCTCTGCCACCAGACACATGGCTACAAATGAACACATCAAAAACATAAGCCCTCAGGGGTCAAAAAGGCAATCACAACATAATGGAGTCCCACAGTAATAAAGGTATGAGTCCCGGAGTCCCCGGAAGTGGGTACGTCCACAGAAACCTCCCCATTGGAAACCAGCTAAGCTTAGGGGCCCAACCCCCTCCAGGGGATGACTACAGGTTGCTGTGGTACCCAAACACAGCTCAGGTGGTCCCCTACCCAACTTTCCAGTAGGACCGACATTCTGGCACCCAACTAGGGCTTGCCTGAGCCAACCTCCCTCCCGGGAGCCTGAGGGAACTATCGGCCCATTCCACTAAGGGAACCGAACCATTGTCCCCTGGACTGTGGCAGGCTGCAATGGCAAAAAGTCATAGACCTCAAGTCCAGGAGGTGAGCCCCCCAGCCCCCCCCCACCCCAAAGATGTAACCCAAGGGAGCTGTCCAGACCAGGCCCAATCCTGGAACACTATCAAACTAGGAATGCCTAGAAATGCACCTTTCTTGTAAAGAGCATTTTCTCTTGTATTGCACAAGGACAGTGGCCTACCGAAGTGTCTGTTATGGAACAGGCATGCCCATGGCTCCATGAGCATGCTTGTTCCTTGTTTAATTGTTCCTAGTAACAATTTCTCACATTTCAATTTTAGGCCAATTCCACCAGATATGTGAGAATTTTTCCTTGACCATGACAGTATCTCCAACAGAGGGGTGATATTTGATTGGAGATTGCAAGTTCTTGTTCTACTTACCATTGAATTAAGTTTTTAAAATTGTTCTGGAGATTTTAGGGCTTCTGATGAAGTATTTTACAAGTTCAGTATCTTTTATGGTTTGTCTCTCATGTAATGTTACTTCTAGTTCTTGCTACCATTTTTACTTGGATATGATGGTATTATAGATTCTGCCTGTGTTTAAGTATACCATAAATTGGCAAAATACAGTGGTTTATAGTCACTTGAGAATACAACCGATCCTTTAAGACAGTGGTCTCCATACTATGGCCTGGGGGCCAGATGTGACCCTTTGCTTGCCCTTATCTGGCCTGTGAGGCACCATTCCACCAACTGACACCAATGATGGGGCACCATTCTACCAGCTGACACAATCAATGGGGTACTATTCTTCTCTTAAAAAAACAATTTGAGTAATGGGGTACTATTCCTCCCATTAAAACCAATGATGGGACACTGATGCCAGTCATTTTCTACCTCCACTGGCCACAGTCCAGCCCCCCCTAAACACCAAGGGACAGTAAACTGGCCCTTTTGCTTGGAAAGTTTAGAGACCCCTGCTCTAAGATGGATTCCCTGCTGCATGCAATGGTTGAGGCAAAGAAAAGTGGTACATTTGCCTATGTCTCTACTCCTCTAACAATGTGTATCCCAATTTGACACAACTCCTGTGCATATGCAATCCCTAATTCTGTTCATTACAGCTTTCTAGTTTCAACATGTCCCATTCCGTCCATTGCAAAAAAGCTCTTTCCCTTTTGGCTTGGGCAGGAGTAGATTTAGATGTGTGGGGCATTTGAGGCACTTTTCATTCACTTGGGCTTGCCACCTGTCAATCACAGCATGTTGGGTTGTTTTTGCCGTGGGTGTGAAGCAGTGTGACCACGACATGTCTGCTGTATTTGGAGCCTAATCCTTGCTATATTTTTGCCATTTGTGTCCCATAGAGGAGATTTTCCCCTAATTTCCTTTCCCATAGCCAAAACAAAGTGAGAGAAGTCCTGAACTATATGAATAAAGTGTGAGCATTAAAAAAAAAAAAACTCTCCTTCATGCTGCAGCATTGGTGGGATGCTATAGCTGTTCCATGTTGGTGCTGACTGACAGCTGGGCAATCGCTGCTGATTGATCCATTCTTCTCGGAATGGAGAAAAGACTATTCTCAATCACACAGCAGGCTGGATCCCAACAATATGGAGTGCCTCTGTGCTTTCCTCACAGTAGGCATTGGCCTACTATAAGCTGACTGGGGCACTCCTGTGACCCAGAAGAGAAAAGAAAAAAAAAAAAAGCTTTGGCCATGCTTCCTAAGTAGGAATTTACAGACAAGGAAAAACCACCTTGGAAACCAAGACACAAGACCCTCTGCTCTGTGGTCACTTATTGCTTACTTTAAAAAAAAAAAAAAACAAAAAAAAAAACCTACATACCCACTCTGTCCTACACACCCATTCTGTCCTAACTAGCCTGTAGAGGAAAAAAAATGTTTACTTGCCTATCCCCTGGGTTCTGCAGTCCAGTCATGTGATCAGCTCCTAGCACTGGCGTCAAGGTAGAGCAGTGAAAGTTAACAGGTGCTCCATAGTAAGCCTTTGGATAATATCACCATTCAGGCTTTGCTGCTGCTGTTGGCGATCTTTTCTCTCTTCTGAAGCCCGTACTGGGAACCGATCACGTGACTGGACCAGAGTACCCAGGTAATACGCAAGTATACACATTTCCTCTAACAAGTTTAGTATATGACTTAGAATGAGGCTGGAAACGGGTATAAATTAGGTTTAGGCTGGAATGGCTGTTGACACGCTTCTTTTATAGGATGTTAATTTCATAACTCTTTAGGCTTTCTGTATCTTTGGAATTACTGTGAAATTCACATGTCCAAAATGATCAAACTTGTGTGGGTTTTTATGTGCGTATATATTTTATACTGTGTGTTTGATATTTTTAACCCAAGTTTGTGACTGGTTTCCTTTTTTAATATGTTAACAGATTAGTTCACTGGAAATGCAACAAGCTGTAATGGATGGTTTAGTGCCACCTGAACTAGCTTTCCAAGCTGCTAACTACTTTCACCCAGTCTATGGCAAAATGCAAATGGACAAACACAGGGATGGTTTCCGTAACAGGTTGGTGTAATTGTTTAATCATTATTAATGGGTATGATGAATCTTGTCCTGACCAATGGTGGCTTTTTTTTTTTTTTTTTTTTTTTTTGCAGACCGCAGCAAAGGCTAAATAAATCTCCAGTAGGCAATCTACGAGGATCATCTGTGTCTCCAGGTCCTAATGCCCCTGTAACCAGTATGGTAAGTACTGGGCCATGAGTGAATAATCTTAATGCAAGTAATACAAGAATATAAAAAAAATGCTGTCCATCTAAAGAGACTTAAGTTTTTGTGACATCTAGGTCCAGTAACTTGCTGCCTTACATCAGATAGGGTTTTGTCATTCAGTCGGGTCTCTGCATAATCCTTGGCTGTGTTGCTTACCACACTGGAGTTTCACTTGTGCTACTCTTGAAACGACCATCTGTGCACCAAATACTGAGAATGAGACTGCCGCACACAAATGTCAGTACTGTATATAAATTGGTTTATCCCAAAATCAACCACAGCAGTAGTTACCACCTGGTTATTGTCCCTACATGTTTAACGCAATAGGGATTTAAGTGATTTATTTACACACGAGAATATTTGAATGTTTGTCGGGGGTTGTGCGGTGTGTGTTTTTTGTGGGTTTTTTGTTTTGTTTTTTTTGGTATGTGGTGTTTTTTGTTTGTTTGTTTTTTGTTCTCTTTTGTTTTTTAGTCTGCAGTCTTCAGGCAGGGACTACTGCTGTGGCGAATAGTGGAATAAAACTGACGTTTTCCATGTGTGGTGGTCTTTCATTTCTTCTGAATGATTTCTTTAAAATGAGGCTTGTGACATGAGATTCAAATTTTAAAAATAACTAAAGCTAAATTTTGGTGGATTTACTTTCCTTTTTGCAGCTATGGGACAGTAAGTGAAGGGGAAAAAATTTCCAATATGTGGAATAACCTTCACAGGCCAAAGCTCTCCCTTGCTTTATCCAAAAATTTTTTTTCTTCATTTCTTATTTAAGGACTTGTTGACTGGTAATATGTATTACTGTAACGAGTGTTGCATATGCTAAGATAATGCAGTCTTATACAGCTTTAGTAGTACCCGTACACAATAAGGCGAATTAACCTCTGATGCACAAGTGCTGGAAAGTGTCATGACACCTAATAGTAAAGTACTGCTGTGTTGAGAAAAGGGGTAAATGTCTTTCCACTTGTGGTTGCTATACTCTGTATTTCACCACATCTGTATCTTGATGTAAACAGGTTGAAGGCATCATGCTGAGTATAGGAACAGCTAACTTGTTACACTTTTTGACCCCAGAGCAGATAAATTGTAATCCTGAGGAACCACAGAAGGCCAGCTCCTATGGTGGCAAATGGAAAGATCTGAATGAATCTGCCAGTCTTGCCCTGGAGGCAGTCTCTAATTTGTCTTAAATGGGAACTACTTGTGTTTTTTTTTTTTTTTTTTTATGGTTTCAAAAATTGTATTCCCAGCATGCCAGGAATGTCAGCTATCACATCTGCTTGTGCTCTCAATCAGTCTGTCAAACTGTCAAATGGCTGGTGTCATAACTGATCGCATGCGCCATAACATGGCAGTTACATATCAGAGGCTAAGATGGCAGCTTCCTTGACTGAAAAGGAAGGGAGGGTTTAGTTCGGCTTTAAAATGCTTACCCTTTACCAAAAGACCGGACAAGAAAACACCCAGAATACCCCAAGCTTAGGAGGATATTAAATATCTGCTATACCTCAAATTTATGTTCACTGCTGCTACATTAAAAAAATCAATAAACCATAAAATGGAATAAGATGACTCAAATACAAAAGTAGTACTGTTACAAAATAAGCCAACTTAAACACCATGAATAAATGATAAATTATAAAGTCCAAATATATCCAAACTTTCAGCCCCTCCAGATTCTCCCTTGCCTATAGGATAAGATTCTTATCACACGGAATTGGCCCAGGAGAAAGTGGTACTTGGGACATATGTAAGTTCATGGTAGATACTCTACCTGGAACTTGCAGGAAGGAAGGGATAAGAAGCTGAGCTACTCAGGAATAAGTTGACCTGATCTCCTAGGCATAACTTCATGTTTGCCAATTTTCCATGCTGGGAATATGCATGGAAGAGTCTGTCACTCTAGGCAGTCAGCAGCATAATCTGGGAGAATATGCCCTTTTCCCAGAACCGTTGTGTTCTCCTCCTGGTGGGGGGAGCTGTCCCCTCCAGGAGAACAGTGATTACTGCCAGCAACTATAATAGCTGCTAGCAATAATTGCAAGTAAAATCTGACAGGCTGGTTGTACCCAAGTTAATAAACTTTGGGTACACGAAGCCTACATACATACACATACATACATACATACATACATACATATACATCGAATTTCAGCAGGGACCGGCCAAGATTCAAACAGTCTATGGCTGACTTTAGTTACAATAATCAAATGCAATGTACTTGAGCTGATAACACAAACCATTCATTCTAATTTATCTCTAGCACTGTGAATGTTTGAGTGGGTTTAGTAGAGGATAAAAGTGAACCCATACAGTAATTCAATTAAGGCAAATTCAGTCTGCTTGCATACCTGCAAGCCAATTAATAAAATGAGTTTTGGATGTGTGGTTTACAGCTACATTGATAAAGACACTTTAAACTTTTAATATTGCTATTCATGAGAAGCATCAGCTGATGTGAACCATGTCCCTTGCAAAAGAGCTCAATGAAGACGTAGTAGTTGATCTGCATAAGACTGGAAAGGGATACAAATCAATCTGTGTTTAGGCATCCATCAGTCAACACACATTGGCTAAAAATGGAGACCTTTTTAGTACTGTTTACAGTAACCAGCCAAGATGATGCCCAAGGAACAATGCATAGTCCTCCATGAGGTAAAGAACCCATGAATAACAGGTGTGTGTGTGTGTGTCCGTCCAGCCCTTTCTCCATGATGTTCTGCCATGGGAAGCCTGCCTGCCAAGGGCACCTTTGGTAAATTGTAACGATCCTACGAAAATGTTTTGTGAACTGTGAAACCATTTTGAGTTGTTTTGGAAGCATACTCTGCACTATGGTGCAAAAAGGCATAGCATCACAACAAAACCATATCCCAGTGGTGAAGTCTGGTGAAGGGGAACATCATAATTTGGGCTTGCTTCACTGCCTGATGGCCTGGACCACTTGCGAGCATCCGATTCCAAGATTTACCAAAATGTCATAAACAATGTTGGGGTGACTGTTTTGCCAGCTGAAGCTTTGTAGAAGTTGGATAGCAGGACAATAACCCTAAGCATTAAAGTAAAACTCAGACTGGCTTCAGAAAAAAGAAAATGTGCCTTTTCAGAGAGGCCATACCTTAACTTCAGAGATGCTGTGGAATGACCTCCAAGGTAACTATTCAAACTGTCTTCTACTACAGCCAAATATTTCAAATTTGACTCCTCATTCCAGAGCACCTGCTGCTATGTTTTTATGCATTGTAGATGCAAACAGGGCTAAGCGACCCAACTATGCATAAAAACACAGGACGTGGGGTGCAAAAAAATGGCAGTAGGTGCTCTGGACTGATAAGTCAAAATTTTAAATATTTGGCTGTAGCTAGAGGTAGTTTGTTCACCGACTGGATGGAGAGTGGTAAAATGAGTGTCTGCAGCGCACAGTGAAGCATTGTGGAGATTCCTTGCAAGCTTGGGGCTGAATTTCTGAGTTGGGGATTGTCAGGATCAATGGTGTTCTCCAATGTTAAGCAATACAAGCAGATACTTATGCTGTACTATCAGGGAGGTGTGTGATTGGCCAGATTTTATTCTGTAGCAGGAAAAACATCCCCAAACATGCAGCCAATATATTCAATGTTAAGAAAAATGAGAAGTGATGGTTTAGCCCCCACAGAACCCAATCTTATCATGGAGTCTGTCTGGAATTACATAAGATGAGAGGTTTTGAGGCAGCCTGCATCCACAGATCTATGGTTAGTTCTGCAAGATGTTTGGAACAACCAAACTGCTGAGTTCTTTTAAAAACACTGTGTATCAAAATCTTTGCTGTGGTGTGTGTTTTTTTTTTTTTCTTTTTTTTTTTTTTTTTTTTTTTTTTTTTTTTTTGCTCGTTCATTCACTTTTCATTTTTAAGTGAACTACTAACACTACTGTTTCTGAAATGTTTCTTGATTTACAGCATTTTATTCCACACCTGCCTAAAAATGTAGCTCCATACTGTGTATATATTCTATATTTTAACTGCACTAGCACAGTCTAGACTTAAAGTTTGTTTTTTGTTTTGGTTTTTTGCCTTTCTTTTGTAGCTGTCTCCATCCTTTACACCTACCTCAGTGATCCGCAAAATGTACGAAAGCAAAGAGAAGAGCAAAGATGACCCTTTGGTAAAACAGAACATCCAGGGGAAAGAAGAGGGGCGAAGAGGACAAGAAGGTAATTAAATCAGTCACAAAGAATCTAAATTTACTCTGCAAAAGTCAGTCAGAAGTTGCCTTGTAGCAGTACAGTGACCTTATTGCTGTACTGCACATAGCCTGTAGCAGAACTGTGGTGAGGACCCAGTAGGTCCACCCACTACAGGGCTGGTGGAAGCTACAGGGCAGTGGATACATGACCAGTCGCACAGCACAAGGAGAGTGCAGCAGTGACCAGTCTTATAAGCAACGTGCTGGTGCTGTTTTATGCTACTCGATACAGTGCTGCTGTAGAGGAAATGGTTGACAGATTTCCAATAAGAATATATAGGCCTCTTGTAATTACAGTATTTGTTTAGCCCAGATTTAAGCATTTTCTGTCTGTTAGCTGTTAGGACTCAGGTGTCTTGGTTTATTTTTACAGATGGAGAATTAACTAGTCCAGTATCTGACCATGTCCGAGGCACTTCTCCCCCAGTGCTGGGACAAAGATTTCCAACATCTCAACGTTCTGGATGCACCCCACCATTACCCCACCAGAATCGCTACACCAAAGACCAGGACTATCGACCCAAATCCTCAGGGAGGCAAACTCCTACTTTGGCATCACCAGTGCCTGGAGCTTCCTTCCTGCGACCTCTCCAAGTACCTGTTGTGCCGGTTGTTCGACCATCCCATCAGTTGCATCCAGGGTTGGTGCAAAAAATGCTGGCGCAGGGAGTTCCACCACAACATCTCTCCCTCTTACAGGCAGGTTAGTAGTTTGTGTAGGGGTTATTTATTTTTTTTTTTTTTTCTCCCCTTGAGGACAGCTCTTGCTGCTTTCCTGTTCTTAAAATAAAACACACAATTTGCTGGCCACAAAACAGCATGGCTTTACTGAGGGCAGATCACGTCAAAATATTCTAAAGTTGACTATCACTGTTTTGGACCAGGGTGGTGCTGTTCACATAGCCTGTCTTGACTTTAGATGTTTGTACAACTTTACCAGATTATGTGAAACTATATCAAACTAGGACTTAACCCTAGGGTGGTTCAGTGGATATGCAATTGGCTAAAGGATAAATACCAGTGTGTGGTTGTAAATGGGGTTCAATTGGGCAGTGAGCAAATGGAATTCTGTTTTTTTCCACTGCATGACCACCCTGGGATGCATCAATGTAGGGATAACCAGCAGGAAGGAGGTCCTGAGTCTTCTATGTAGACCTTTAGTTGGATCTCATTTAGAATTGTGTCCGGTTCTAGAGACCTCGCTAAGATTTTGACAAGATAATGAGTCCAGAAATGGGCAACAAAATCGGTAAAAGGGCTAAAGGGAAAACGCATCAGGAGAGACTTCAAGAACTTAAGATGTAGAGTCTGCAGGAAATAAGGGAAAGGGAAAACATGATTGAAACACTTGTCAAATGATCTACAAAATGAGGGTCATGACTTCAAACAGGAGGAAAGTTCAAAACTAATCTTAGAAAACATTTTACTGAAAGAGTACTTAATGCTTGAAATAGACTTCCAGCAAAGATAGTCCGTCAACAGGAAGTGGTTTCAAACATGCTTGGCACAAACCTAGCTCTATACTTGGACAAAAGGGCAGACTCTGTGGACCACTTGGTCTTTTTTTGATGTCACTCTTCTGTGTTTCTATACTGACTGGTGGTATTTGTGTGCATGCTCAAATCCACTGCACGGTTGCTGGGATAACTGACTGTGTAGAGAAGGTTCTGCTAAAGGTGTTAAGCTTTTGTGTTCAGCACTTGGGGCGGACTTGTTTGGACTCCCACTGTATCCCCTCTGCCATGTGTGTTGTGTGCTATATGTGAGGGAAGGGGGGGGGAGAAAAACAGTACCAATATCCCTTCACTCCATCCTCCCTCTGCTCACTAATTATGCCAGTGGGTCTGGGGCAAAATTTCTGCTTGTTTGAAGGACCCATCCCTGATATGACTCCCTATGATCGTCTGGTGCTCTGTATCACTCCTGTCTTTTAAGCAGGGATGATGTTTCCTTTTCTGGAATCGGAAATGGAGAAACTTGCCACTCTTGGAATCATCACAACATGACAGGCTCAAAGATACCATTTCTGTCCTTGTTAGTAAGGTGCATTCCTGTTGTAACTTTAGAGAAGACTGATGAAGTCTCGAGATTAAGAGTATAGGTTCTAAAAAGGTTGCAAAACCACCCAAAACTTTGCCTATGCACTCTGCAGCTGAAGTTTAATGTGCGAATTGGGCTCACCACATGAGTGTCAGATCTCCCAAAGCTTTTTTTCTCAACAATACCCATGGAAGAAATGTTTGGCAGAAGGTGTGTGGGTGTTTGTGGTTGTGTGTTTTTTTTTTTTTTTTTTTTTTTTTTTTTTTGGGGGGGGGGGGGGGGGGGTCGCGCCTGCTATTGGCGGATTCTAAGCCCTTGATGGTTTTTGGCCTTTATAGACTCTGTAGACCTAGAGATTTGAATAGGTCTTCAGGGCTTCATTTATTGGCCCTGCCCTTCAACCTGTGATTGCTTTTGTGGAAATCCTGAGACTTTCATGGTATGGACTAGATTTATGTTCCGGGACTCTGGTTCCATTGTTGGATCCTTCTGTTAATCAAACTCTTTACTTTCTATTGTGTGGACAGTCTTAGAAACTCCCTTTAAACAGATGTCCAGGGTAAGCCTTTTGTCTAGTCAGATTTGACTGGATCCTGTGGTTCAAGCGCTAGGCTGTGTAGCTGGTTGTTCAGAAAAGTAACCTCCTAGGCATGTTTTGTGGTCAGTAATGATCCTTTTTTTAGTTTGTGGGTCTGCCATTTGGCTTATCCACTGCTGCTCTGGTGGTGGTTCTGGTTTTCACTCAAGGCTCACTTCTGTACACTGGATAGCACTTGCTGTGTGCCCAATTTCTCTCCAGACCTCTGCTACTTTGCTTAATGTCTGCATGAAACAAATGGACTTGACGATTTCATACTTTTTTTTTTTTTTTTTTTTTTTTTTTTTTTTTCCCTTTCAACTCCAACCACCTTATTTGGTGGATTTCTAGCCAAACTTTGCAATCGGAAGTAGTTTTGCATTGATTGTGAGAATCTCCCAAGTTAGTGGAACAGTTTGTTGGGCTGGGTGGGAGCCCTGGGAATGTTGTTCTTTCTAGGAACAGTGTCTTCACAGGACCCTAAACTGCCAATAAACATTCTAGAGCTCATGGCCTTTTAACTGTCCCTTCAACATTGAATGTTGCTGCTTTGGAGATTCACAGGCTCAGTCAAACGGCATCATGCCCTACATCCACGGCTGCCGATAGGGGGTACCACTGGGCCTTCTGTAGGGGGCCTGGGCACACAGTGGGGCCCGGAGAGCAGGGGGATTGGTAAGGGTAGAATTACAAAACAATGCACTGTTTGCCCGCCGGCTGGAGGGAGGGAGACGCACACACGCTCTGTTAGCTGTGCTCAGACTGTTACCCCTTACTTTCTCATCCATGACTCACCCACTTCCAGTTTCTTATCCTGCTCACTCCTTCCTCCACTCCTTCCTCCTAGTGTTGTGGTAATGCTCCGATCACCTTCTCAGTCTCATTGATTGTGCCTCAGTCCTTCCTTTCTGCACTTCTCATACAATCTCATCTTTCCTGTCTCTCTCGTACCAGTGCTCCAACTGCCCGGCCTGTATTTTTTCTTATCCGCTTTCTCCCCCAGTGCTCAGTCTCCCTGACAGTGACAGCCCATCAGTTGCGTTCCCATGGGATGACGAATTTACTGTTATACCATTCCACATATGCCTTTTTATCTTGTCCCAGTGCAGCTTAGTGTGCTTTTATGATGCTGGGCTTCCCACTCCTCTCCCCCTTAACCATTTACTAACTGATCTAGTTGAAGCAGTAGTAAACTCTGCTGTCTTTTTCTTATACCTATAGTAGGGCTTGCCTGTAGGTACAGTTAATATTTCCTAAACGTGCACGTTTAAGAAACCTATACATGTGTAGCAGCTGGTGATGCTAATGATGCATGTGCATGCCATCCATAGAGAGAACTGTGCTGCGACCATGACTCCCAACACGCATGCATGGGAGTGACCTCATTGCAGCTTAGCCATTCAATTGGCCACAGCCTAAGCCTTTTTTTTTTTTTTTTTTTTTTTTTTTTTTTTTTTTTTTTAAAGTCCGTCATAATGCTTTTTCACCAGAGCCCATCCCTCCTTCCTGATAGTGTTAACAAAAATAGACAAAATCTAATTAGGTACTTGGGCAGCTGCAGTCTGAACCCCTCCTTCACACAGCCAGTCAGTGAGAAGATGCAGCGGCTGTATGAACAGAGCCACAGGTCCTAATTTGACAAGTGTGCAAGTGTGGGCAAGTGGCCACAAATGCACACTGTGTTCAGGGCCGTACACCTGCATCCACACGCCTGTCAAATTAGGACCTGCGGTGTTCGTACAGTTCCAGTTGGCCCCAGGCGCATAAACCACTGATTCCCACTGTAAAAGCCACAGCACCCATGTGAATGAACCCCAGACCTCATCCACAAAGAGCTTTATTAACTCTGTAGAGATGTATCTTTTAGATGTAGCAGGAATTATGTAAGTTTATCACATGTCTGTCTGCTAATGATTCATGTATTTTTAGTGAAATATCACTGATTTTCTTGGAGGGGCCCTGTCAGGTAGCGTGTACGGGGCGCCGCGATTTTCTATCAGCAGCCTTGCCTACATCAGGCAAAGTACAAGTCAGGCAGCAGAGAAGAAAGTGGAATTGACTCAGACTTGGATGGAGCATTGTTTAAGCTCTGATTGCAGTAGACATTTTCAGGTGTATAAAATTGGCATTTAGACATCCTCAGCTGTTGGCATCTGGATAAAGGAGACAGAAAACAAAATGGATCCAGTTAAAAGGTTGTGTATGATTTTATTAAAACAAAACCCCAAAAAAACTTTCCAGCAACTTGTACCCGGCATGGGTAAGTACAGGACAAAAAACACATGTGGCTTAGGCTGTGAGATACAGATGCAAGATTTCAGTGTCTATCCTGTATACTTTGTAAATGGTTCATAGACTGCTACCGTCTACAATTAACTTAAGACCTCCTACTCTCTAGCTCCCTGGTCTCCTCCTCCCATGCCTGACTCCAGGACCTCTCCAGGGCTACCCCAATCTATCAGACTATCACCTACCCTCCTCACCTTTAGGCGCAATCTGAAAACCCATCTCTTTATGGAAGCCTACCCCGCCCTCGCCTAACTACTGATCTCCTCCTACCACTCCATCCCCCACAGCTATTTCCTCCTGTACCACTATCCCCTCCCTCCTAGATTGTAAGCTCCAAGGAGCAGGGCCTTCGTGTATTGTCTCATGTACTGTCTCCCACTCTAATGTACAGCGCTGCGCAAACGTTTTGGTGCTACATAAATACTGTATAAGTGCACTTAATATTGATCTACTTTTGACTATATAAAGGCTGCATGCACACAAGCGTGTGGGGTTTTTTTTTTTTTTTTACAGTTTATGTAAAAAGGGCGAAAAAGCTGTTAGCGTTTTTTTTCTGCTGGATAAATGCTCCAAAAAAATACAAAAACCATTTTTCTTCTGCTCCTAGACTTCAAAGCTCACAAAATGCTAATAGCCTAAAGTAGTGTGCATGGACACATAGGCTAACGCTGTTCAGCTTCTAGGAGCTTAAAAAAAAACCGCTAGTGTGCATGGAGCCCAAACATGCCAAAATGGACTACAAATCCTAGCAATCCCATTAGATGTAATTGGAAGGCTTCAGAGTTTGGGTAGTAGAAACTATACCCTTAAGCTGGTCCTTTGCTGAGAGGTTCCAAAAGTTGTACCAATGGGAGACCTTATGGATTTTCACTGTAAACACACTAAAACCCTTGGGCCTGGGTTCACACTGATGCGGTCTGGAATTCGCAGCGTTTTCTGTGCGAATTCCGCACTGCATCAGAATCGCACCCCATTCATGCGAACCGCTGCAAGTGTGCATGTTAACAGTCCCAAAATCGGTGTGGAATTGGATCGCATAGGTGTGAATACCCATGCGATCCATTTCTAATGCGGGCCCAAAAAAGGGTCCTGCACTTTTTTTTTTTTTTTTTTTTTTTTTTTTTTTTTTTGTGCGATTTGAGCCATGCATAGTGTGTGGCTCAAATCACACCGCACACAATTCGCATGTGATTTGCACAGGAATGCGGTGCCGTTCCTGTGCAAATTACATGCGATGTGCCACACCACATGAACGTGAACCTAGCCTAAGGGTTTTAATGAATTGGAAATCCAAACTATAACCTAGAATGATCCTCTGTGCATATCAAACAAAGAGCTGTCCATGTAAGACTGGTTAGACAGTAAAAATGGTTTTTATAATTGATTCTTTTTGTCACATAATCCAAGTTTGGTGATAGTGGCAATTTTTGAGTTGCAGTCCAAGGCATAATTAAATAGTATTACCAACCTTTAGGAGAGGTGAACCGTGATTATTTTTAATCTGGTGAAATAGAGTTCCTTTTTTTAAATTTGATTTTAGAAGTTTATATACTTTGGCATATTTGTGTACTTAAGTTGATCATAGATGACAGCAGTCCATGAACTGAAAATGCCCTACTAAAAATTACTAATGATTTACGAACTGCTAAAACCAATGGCCACTACTCCATACTCTTAATACTTGACCTCTCTGCGGCTTTTGATACTCTTGACATCCCCTCAAAAAAAAAAACTCCACTCTCTTTGCTCCGAGACTCTGCTCTCTCCTGGTTTTCCTCCTACCTATCGCAGCGCTCCTTAAGCGTTGCCTATAACTCTGTTTCCTCACTACTCCCTCTTTCTGTAGGGGTCCCTCACAGTTCTGTCCTTTTGGACCCCTTCTCTTCATCTACACCTCCTCCCTTGTTCACTTGATAACCTCCCATGGCTTTAAGTACCATCTCTATGCCGATGACACACAAATCTATCACTCTACTCCTCGCCTCATCACTTCAGTCTCCTCCTCGCATTACAACCTACTAAGTGAGGAAGTGGAGTGACATCCATGCTGATATATCAAACGAACTCTTGCTAAACCTGAGCTCATACTATTTCCTCCAGCCCGTGCCTCCTCCCCTGACTTCTCCAAGATCAGTAATACAACAAGCAGTTCCTCCCCTCATGCCAGGGTACTAGGTGGAATGCTAGACTCCCATCTGTCCTTTCATCCCCAAATCCAGTCACTGTCCAAATTTTGTAGACTTCACCTCTGCAACATCTCCAAGATACGCACGGTCTTAGGCAGGCCATAGACGGGCCGTTTATCGGCTGAATTTTCGGCCGATTAAATGAAAAATCGGTTGGCCCTGTTGCCGATGCCACCCATGTCCACGAAAAACGGCCGTTTTTCGTGTATTTTACAGCATGACCGATTAAAAATAAATGAGAGATCCGCGAAAAAATGGGCAACGGGCTGGCCTAACGAACGGTGTGATTATCGGCCGATTTTTCGTGCAGACAAAAATTTGGCCGATAAACGTCCCATCTATGGGCTGCATAAACCTCGGAAACCACTAAGCAGCTTATTGGCGTACCTCATCGCAGGCTATCCCCTCTTCAGTGTATCATGAATTTTGCTGCTAGACTCCTCTACCCTACTAACCGTTCTGTATCTGCCTTCCGTCTCTGCCAATCCCTCCATTGGCTTCTCATTTCCCAATGAATAAAATTCAAAACATTAACAATAACGTAATAAGATTGGAGATGTAATTTGGGGCAGAGTTATAAACGGCTTGTCTCCAAATATCACCCAAACGTCCTCTGTGCTCCTCTCACAGCCTCCTCTTCTCTATCTCCCTTGTCTCCTCCCATGCTCGTTTCCAGGACTTCTCCCGAACCTCTCCCATCCTCTGGAACTCTACCCCAATTTATCAGACGATCGCCTACTTTTAGGCGATCTCTGAAAACCTATCTCTTCAGGGAAGACTATCCTGCCTTCAGCTAATAATGGAATCTTAGATTCCTCTCATAAGTTCATGCCCCACATTTATTACCTTTTGTACCACCAGCCCCTCCCTCTTAGATTGTAAGCTCCAAGGAGCAGGGCCCTCCTAACTCTCTTGTATGGAACTGTATCGTTGCTGTATTGTCTCCCTTTATACAGGATTAATATAGCACCAACAGTTTGCTCAGTGCTTTACAATATAATAACTAGTTAAAAGTATTCAAAACATATACTAAATGGTGTGAAGCTGTTGCTCATTAACTGGCAGATGCTGGTGTGGCACTATCGGGTCTCAATCAGTGATGCATGGATCTGTTTTTCCATGCCTTGTAGCATAAAAACCTTCAGTTTACCAATCTGGGCAGGCTTGACTAAGAAAACGCCCTTAACATGTGTTGCTGTGCCCTCACCCTGATGCACACAAGTGTTCCCCTTTGTACTTCTCCTGGCTGCACTTTTAGGTCAGGAGTTTTGAGCAGGTTCTTTCTGTACAGCAGTGGGGTCTCACATCTGCTGTTGTCACTAGTACAGATGTGTTGGCCTGAATCTGCAGGAGGTGCCTGCAGGAACAGTTTTACAACTTACCATGGATTCTCATTAATGGATTCAAGTCAACTTTCTAGCATCTTTGGACTGAGACACCACGCAGAAGTAAATTTACTGTTGTGATTGGTGAAGAGATCACACTCCTTGATCCAGACAGCAGAGATTTTTCAGGACCTTTGTTGCAGATGGGGGACAAGGAGCAATTGTGTGGCTGTTAGCATTATGGTTCATCAAGCTAAATGGGGGATCTCTGGACCCAGTGATTGACCTAAGCTTTCGTGTGTGTCTCCATGGAGTTGCCACACAACATTCCAATGATTCTTGTGGCACCAAAATGGCCCAGAATGGTTTGATTCTTTCTTTGACATACCAGTTCTGACTTCTGGCAAATTCCCCTTGGCATTTTCTGGATTGTTTAAATTTTCTGTCTCAAGGGCCAGTCTACCATCCTGTTTCTCTGTCCCTCAGGACTTGGGCTGTCAAGCCTCTGTATTTGGCAGGCCTGGCTGTTATCAGGTTTGCTTAACTTAAAGTTCCCTCAAGGGGAACATTTTGGCCTTTTGGCTATCCCTTTTTAATACATTCTTTTTGGCCTCTTTTTCCCTAGTAAAGGCCATTTGTCTAGGTGTAGATAAATGAGACTAAGGGCCTGTGACTCGGGGCCTACTGGTTCAACAAACTGGACAGGTTTGTCTCCAGGTACAGGGATTTCACCACAAAGCCAAGACATGCTGGTAGGTTAATTGGATCCTGTCTAAATTGGCCCTAATATGTGTGTGTATGTATGACTGTGAGTTAGGGACCTTAGATTGTATGCCCCTTGAGGGTTTGGGACTGATGTGAATGTACAATATATATGTGTAAAGTGCTGCGTAAATTGACGGCGCTATAGAAGTACCTGAAGAAATTAAAAAAAAAAAAAAAAAAAAAAAGCCAGAGCATCCGCTGCTTCTGTTGTTGTAAATCAGGGTGTAATGATATATCTTTCCAGTCCCAAAAGTCCTTTGTGTTATGGGATTGATTTGGAAGGCAAGCTGGGGATAGCCCAGGCATTTGATACTACAGAGTGTCAGATGATTGTGTGGGGACAAGATCAGTATGATCTGGAAAGCCAAGGACTGACTTACCAGTGTGTGCCAGTCACTGGTTTTAAAGGCATGACTGAAAGCCAGGAGGGTCAAAGACACCTCCTGTATAAACTTCACTCTTACAAAGTAGGAATATGTTTCAAAGTGAGGCAGTCTGATCAGGTGTTCTGCTCTTGAAAGAAAACAAATGGCGGGGTGTAGTTTTTTTTTTTTTTTTTTTTTTTTTTTTTTTTTGTCCCCCCCCCCCCCCCCCCCCCCCCCCGAAAACTGATCTTATCCTTTACCTTGACAATATCTGACTATTTTTATTATTGCTACTGACCAGTGTGCAGAAGAAAAGCCTTTCCTGTTTTAACTGCATCTGACATTACTCTTAGTTGGCACTGCACATGAACACTGCCACCTGAAAATTATCCTTAAATCTGATGTGAACATCATTCTTAAACACAATATGGTCTATAAAATTCCCACAGCAAGTGTGGGTTTTTCACACTGCCAGAATTCAGCTTTAAGCATTCTTCTGAAACTTGATGCGTGTTTTTGTTTCCTGGTTTTATTAACTTTTTTTTTTTTTTTTAATTTCCTAAGGACTACTACCTCCTGGTATTGATTTGTCTGCTCTTCACGCTCTTTCACCATCTGTCCTTGGTCAACCCTTTTACCCACTGGCACCTACAGGACATCCACTTCTCAATCAGCGCCCTGCAAACCCTCTACAACTTGCAATGATGCAGCGGCAAGGTATTAACTTTTTTTATTTTTTTATTTTTTTTTTATGAAAAACCGTGAATATTCAGATGTGGAACGTTTAAAGTGTTAGTAAAGTATCTTGTTTAAAAACTGGTTCCCCTGCAGGGTAATGTCATAATCAGCCAGTATGTACTCCATACCATCACATTAAGACCATCTTGCCTTTTAAAGCAGATCTCTCCAACAGTGCCCTGTCACTGCTGAAGGGGCTTCCATCTTCAACCGGTCTTCCCTTACAGGTTGTGGCATAGTGCTCTGAATGGATGGCACGCTTAAGTGTGCCTTTCATTCAGAGCTCAGTGAACATGTGCTGTGATGTCACCTGTTGCTACAAATGTGAATATCTCTTAAACGGTGCACGTTTGGGTAAGCCTATATGGCTTACCTGTAGGTAACGTTAAAACGCAGACTACCACTTTAACATGGCAAAAAGCTGACATTTTACTTTTATCACACAATTATTTTTACAGTGCAGCTAAGTTGTTGTGATAGGTGGACAGTCTGAGTGCCATAACTTAATTTTTTTTTTTTTTTTGTGAAATTTAAAAAAAACAAAACTTTTTTTATCAACTTCAAGTCCGGACACTTTTCACCCCCTTCCTGTCCAGGCCAATCTTCAGCTTTCAGTGCTATCCCACTTTGAATGACAATTGCGTGGTCATGCAACATTGTACCTGGTATTAATTTCTTGGCTTTTTTTGAGAATGATAAAACTTTCATTTATATAGCAAAAAAATAAAAATCCCAGTGGTGAAAAAATAAAAATCCCAGTGGTGAATAAATACCACCAAGTGAAGTTCCAAAATTTTGAAATGTGTTTCTTATAAAACTTTGCAAATCTTTCTCCACAAATCTTAGCCAAAATGTATTCAGCTATCCTTTTTTAGTAAAAAAAAAAAAAAAAAAAATAGCCCAAATTGGTTTATAACCAAAAATTAAAATAAACAATATAATTTTTCAAAAATTTTTTAAAACGGGTCACCCTAGCAGTACAGTGTCACCATAGTGACACTACGAATTGTGGGGGGTGATTTTTTATTTATTTTTTACACTGATTGCTTTTACACCCATAAAGGCTTAAAAGCAATCATTTCCCCTCTCTGGCTGCATTCTTGCAGCCATTGAGAAATACCGTGAGAGCTGTGATTGTTCACAGCTTGTACAATGTGACTTCTGTGATCGTAGATTTCACAAGTAATAAACAATGTCGGGAAGTGACATCTTGCTTACTACTATTCATGTGATCACTGATAGGTCCCGTACAGTGATCATGTGATCACTGACTGGCCACTGTGTGAGGTCTCGATCAGTGTTTGGACACAGCGGGCAGTGGATCGCGGTGCCATGTGCTCCCTGGGAGCTCGCACAAGCAGGCAATGCGGGTGCTGTTTATAAACGGCAACCCGCTTCGGCACTGCTCCTGTCCGGGCCGTTTTATTTACATGGGCCAGATGGGAATTGGTTAAGTAATACAGGTGAAACGCGAAAAATTAGAATATAGTGCAAAAGTTAATTTATTTCAGTAATGCAACTTAAAAGGTGAAACTTGTATATGAGATGGACTCATTACATGCAAAGCAAAATAGTTCAAGCCGTGATTTGTCATAATTGTGGTGATTATGGCTTACAGCTCATGAAAACCCCCAAATCCACAATCTCAGAAAATTAGAATATTACATGCAATCAATAAAACAAGGATTGTACATAGAACAATATCTGACCTCTGAAAAGTATAAGCATGCATATGTACTTGGTTTGGGCCCCTTTTGCAGCAATTACTGCCTCAATGCGGCGTGGCATGGAAGCTATCAGCCTGTGGCACTGCTGAGGTGTTATGGAAGACCAGGATGCTTCAATAGCGGCCTTCTGCATTGTTCGGTCTCATGTGTCTCATCTTTCTCTTGGCAATGCCCCATAGATTCTCTATGGGGTTCAGGTCAGGTGAGTTTGCTGGCCAATCAAGCACAGTAATCCCAAGGTAATTGAACCAGGTTTTGGTGGTTTTGGCAGTGTGGGCAGGTGCCAAGTCCTGCTGGAAAAGGAAGTCCGCATCCCCATAAAGCTCGTCTGCTGAAGGAAGCATGAAGTGCTTCAAAATCTCCTGGTAGATGGCTGCGTTGACCCTGGACTTAATGAACCAGAGTGGACTAACACCAGCAGATAACATGGCTCCCCAAATCAAGACAGACCGTGGAAACTTCACACTGGATTTCAAGCATCTTGCAGTGTATTCCTCTCCATTCTTCCTCCATACTCTGGGTCCTTGGTTTCCAAATGAGATGCAAACGTTGCTCTCATCAGAAAAGAGGACTTTGGACCACTGAGCAACAGACCAGGTCTGTTTTTCTTTAGCCCAGGTAAGACTCTTCTGAAGTTGTTTATTGTTCAGGAGCGGCTTGACAAGAGGAATACGACATTTGAAGCCCATGTCCAGGATCCGTCTGTGTGTGGTGGCTCTTGATGCACTGACTCCAGCCTCAGTCCACTCCTTGTGAAAGTCCCCAACACTTTTAAATGGCCTTTTCCTGACAATCCTCTGCAGGCTGCGGTCATCCCTGCTGCTTGTGCACCTTTTTCTTCCACACTTTTCCCTTCCACATAACTTTTCTATTAATGTGCTTTGATACAGCACTTTGGGAACATCCAGCTTCTTTTGCAATTAGCTTTTGAGGCTTTCGCTCCTTATGGAGGGTGTCAATGATGGTGTCAGGTCAGCAGTCTTTCCCATGATTGTGATTCCTACTGAACCAGACTGAGAGACCATTTAAAGGCTCAGGAACCCTTTTGCAGGTGTTATGGCTTAATTAACTGATTAGAGTGTGACACTTTGAGCCTAGAATATTGCACCATTTCACAATATTCTAATTTTCTGAGATTGTGGATTTGGGATTTTCATGAGCTGTAAGCCATAATCACAATTATGACAAATCACGGCTTGAACTATCTTGCTTTGCATGTAATGAGTCTCTCTTCTATATTAGTTTCACCTTTTAAGTTTCATTATTGAAATAAATGAAAAATTAGAATATCGTGCAAAAGTTTGAGTTTTACCTGTACATTAAATTGTCGTCACGTGTCCTGCAGGAAGCAAGCGAGCACTTGAGAACTGCAGATTCTCTTTATGAATCCTTACCCTAGTCAGTGGCTAACTGCTAAACGTTCTGCAAGGAGAATTCTTGATTGTGATGTCACTAGCTTGTACTACCTGAGGCTTTCAGGTCTCCATAGTAATGTGAATACATTGCATGAACCCAAAAGAACATGGTTTATTATGTATTTGTATTTCAGGATCTGGCACACACAACTTCTCTGGCATGCACGCTGCTTCTCAAGGTTTGTCAAACCGGCCCAATGTGCATATGATGGATCAACGTCCTCAGAGGAGTTCTTCCCCGGTGGGACTTGCTAAATGGTTTGGATCTGATGTTCTTCAACAACCCTTGCCGTCTATGCCTGCTAAAGTGATCAGTGTGGATGAACTGGAGTACAGACAGTGAAGTGGAGCTAAATTATCTGGTGATGGTGGACCGTCTGATCCCTTCCAGGCAGAGAATGGCTGGTGTCTTGTACCCAGAGACCCATCTACTCAACTCTGTTTTTGTTTAAATTTGGGCTGTGAAGTAGAGTATGCTTCCCCTTATCTGCTTAATACCAGCGCAGAGTCTGGTGAAGGAGGAATCATCTCTTGCCCAGGAAGCCTTTTCGGAAGGGGCACTTTATTTTTTATTTTTTATTTTTTTGACCTAGCAGCGTGCTGAGGGGTAACAGAGAATGGCCTTCATGCAATGAACTTTTGTGTACAGACTTGTATAAAGGTTTTTTTTTTTTGTTTTTTTTTTTTCTTCTTTTGTGTATATACTCACATTTAGAATAGTTTTTGGTTTAGCTAGCTGTACAGATGCAAAAAAGCTGAATCTGTTTTGCCACTTACAGTCTGGGCTCTCCCTTTAATTTGTACATTTCGCTTTTCTTTCAATTAAATCTGCATATGCCAACGGAATGAGTTCTGATGGTTATTATATGGTGGTGCTTGAGTTGTCAGATTTGTTGGGAAATTAGATTGGGCAGAATTCGCACCAGTTTGCCCTGCAGGGTCTACTTAGGAGTGCCATCTGGCTACCATGTAAGCTAGCATGATCTGCATATCAAATGCTTTATTTTGCACATGGTTGTATTTGTCCAGGAGGTAGCCTCTTTGTAACAACTTGGGATAGAAAATTGTGCTGCTTTTTGATCTAGCATTTGCCAGTATAGGTAACCACACCCTGAATGCTGGGTGGGGAGGCTGGGGCCTGGTGTAGGTTGCGGTACTGTGGGATATTAAAGGCCAAGTTAAACTTTTTTAGAACCTGATCCAGCTTCTGCCCCTTACACCCCCCCCCCCCCCCCATCACCCCCTCCCTGTGATAGTGGGTGCAGGTAGAAGAACCCCTACCTGCTGTCACTTTTTTAAAAAGTCTGTGTGGGGCTCCACCCACCCACACAGGCTTGTTTATTCATTTACAGGAATCTGAATGAATGACAAGTACCATCTGCCACTTGCAGCAGACTGGCTTCTAGCTTTATTGGGCTTCAGGGGTGCTGATGAGCAACCTTAGTCCACTGATATGTCCTCGGCTTTCAAACAAAGCTCATACAGAGATATTGGCTGAAAGCTGGAGGATGTGTGTGCAGGAGCCTACATTGCACCCAGGGTCTATGGATCGTGGGTGCAATACTTCCGAGGCTCCTGCAGGAAAAATGTAAGTGTGTGTGTATAAAATGTTATGTATAATGAAATGATTGGACAAAAACACCATTGCTCTCTATAAACTCAGGGCCCATTTGTACCGTACTTGTCACACTTGTACCATAATTGTCCAGGTGGACATTGAAAGCTTGATGTCACAGGTGGCACTTTTGTTAGCCAGAAAACTATTTCTTTAGCATTCATTGAGGGATGCAGTAATTTATTCACTGTTCAGTTATATTGCTGCCTAGAATATTTGGCCAAAATTAATACCAGCCTGGTATAATTCCTACCAGCATGCTTTAGTGTTAGCCTTTTAATCAGCAGAATAGCTAGCAAAAATCTTTATTTTTTTTGGTTACCTCTACAAGTTGCTTGAGCTAGTCACTATAAATAGCTATCCAAATCAGCGGTAGCCTTAGACACCATATCGGGACCTTGCAGGGCTTGCCTTGTTGCCTGGAATGTGTCTTTTGCAGCTAGCCGTACACACAGATTCTGGATGGCACCACAGATTGCCTTCTTGCCCGGGCCAATTTTCAGCTTTCAGTGCTGCTGCACTGACAATTGCACGGTTATGCAACACTGTGAGTGAAAAAGATGCAAATTTCATTACGGACTGTGACTGGCACGGTGTCACACCCCAGTCCTTCCCACCAACTTGTGACCAAAGGACTAGCCAATCTAAAACCGCGCTGCCACTTGCGTAACAATGCCGCTCTCAGCTGCACCCTGCACAAAGATTTTTCCAGTTCACTGGACCCCAATCTAAGTGCCAACAGCCTGAGAGCGATTGTTACTGGGTCAGGTTAATTACGCAATTAACCCTTCACACTGCCCACCACCACCATTTTACAGAGAAATAGTGCTACTGCTAAGATTTGTGAGTTTCCTCTGTTTGAAGAGCGCTACTGTGTTTTAAAACCTCTGTATACACACTGTCACTGCGGACAGATATATCCAGACGCTTATTCAGAGACAGGGATTGTTTGCATTAAAGAGCTTTAGAAACAGTTCAACACTTTTCAGAAAATAGGATTTATTACTAAAAAGGTCAAAATGGTGCAATAAAAATATTTACAGAAAAGATGTTATTGCTCGCGCTCTCTTTCTCTCTCTCTCTCTCGTTTATACCATGGCCAATAACCTTCCATAGGTGCATGCAGCAGCCTAGCCACTGGCTGGACGTTCAGCATATCATTTTGCATATTAACCTGACACCAGATATGACATATCTGCCTGTGACGGTTAAAGAGATTGCTTTCTGCTCTCTGGTAGACGTTATCTAGGGGTGTAAGTTATCAAGTGACTCGTATTAAACTGACCTCTCTGAATATATGTTTTGTTTTATTGTGCCTTGTTCCTGCCGGGATTTAGGAAATTGTATGAAAAAGTGGTTTCAAGTGGGATGTATGTTTATAGCTTTACGACCCGGCCAAGGCAAGGGTCTGTCAGACATTATGGAACCAGCTAATTAGGTTTACAACCATAATCCAAATTAAAAGGTATGCGCTAATAAACTTATACAAAAGTGTAGATCATCATCCAAAAAACATTAGTGTTTTAAATAATTATAGTGTCCAAACATAAATTAGTGTCCAAAAAAAATATATATATATATCTTCAGTGACTTGAACCAATTGTGAGAAATCCACCACCAAAGGAGATTAAATGAACTCAGCAGAGCTAATGGCTGGTCAGATAATAAACCAGCAACAGCACTTGTGCTCTTGGAGCAATGAACCCGATGTCCAAATAGATATGGTGATGTTTCAGATACTTCCAGATAATAATAATCACAGCCAAACAACTTTGCAGCCCAAGCTATTATGATGAACTTCTCCGCTCTTTCTCATACCTCCATGAGAGCATGCAGTACACTCAGGAACAAAAAAGAGAACATAATGGTGCAATACGTTTTTTTCATTTATCTCTTTAATAAAAAAGGTATAAGGAAACTCACAAACAAGGTGTCCAACAGACACCAGCTTCAATCGCAAAAAAAGGGTTGAGATACAGTTGACGCTCACCGCAGATCTCTCCCATACAGCACAGACAAGCAAGGCTCTCTAACGCCCACATCAAGTAGGCTACACCCAACCAGTTTCGTCACACTGACGTCATCAAGGGGCCATGTTTACTTTTTACAGCATATCATCCCCCTTTTAACATTCTAAATTGTCTGTAACAAACTTTTTGGGATGAAGTCAGTGTCTGCAGAAGTTTTATATGGAAACGAAGTGGTTTTCTCAGCCTTCTCTGGATCCTTACCTTAACAGTCCCAGTGGAGGATGTTTCAGTATTAAAGGATGTTGTGGACAAAAGATTTAAATTGCTTATTTTAAAAATAAATTAGATTTTATTTTTCGTTTTGCATCTTATTTTTGGAAAACTTAAATAGGTTTTCTATTGTACAAAAGTAACAAACTCCTTAACCCCTGTAACTTTGCCACGATCATCGAAAAAGATACAGAATTGTGTCGATGTCCCAATATTTATGGACCTGACTAACATTTTTGGCTGTATACACCACCACAATGGATTTGAAATGAAACAAACAAGATGTGCTTAAACTGCAGACTGTCAGCTTTAATTTGAGGGTATTTACATCCAAATCAGGTGAACAGTGTAGGAATTACAACAGTTTGCAAATGTGCCTCCCACTTAAGGGACCAAAAGTAATGGGAGAGAATAATAATCCTAAATCAAACTTTCACTTTTTAATACTTGGTTGCAAATCCTTTGCAGTCAATTACAGCCTGAAGTCTGGAATGCATAGACATCACCAGATGCTGGGTTTCATTCCTGGTGATGCTCTGCCAGGCCTCTACTGCAACTGCCTTCAGTTCCTGCTTGTTCTTGGGTTATTTTCCCTTCAGTTTTGTCTTCAGCAAGTGAAATGCATGCTCAATCGGATTCAGGTCAGGTGATTGACTTGGCCATTGCATAACATTCCACTTCTTTCCCTTAAACTCTTTGGTTGCTTTTGCAGTATGCTTTGGGTCATTGTCCATCTGCACTGTGAAGCGGCGTCCAATGAGTTCTGAAGCATTTGGCTGAATATGAGCAGATAATATTGCCCGAAACACTTCAGAATTCATCCTGCTGCTTTTGTCAGCAGTCACATCATCAATAAATACAAGAGAACCAGTTCCATTGGCAGCCATACATGCCCATGCCATGACACTACCACCACCATGCTTCACTGATGAGGTGGTATGCTTAGGATCATGAGCAGTTCCTTTCCTTCTCCATACTCTTCTCTTCCCATCACTCTGGTACAAGTTGATCTTGGTCTCATCTGTCCATAGGATGTTGTTCCAGAACTGTGAAGGCTTTTTTAGATGTCGTTTGGCAAACTTTAATCTGGCCTTTCTGTTTTTGAGGCTCACCAATGGCTCACACTTGAAATGAACTCTGGACCTTTTATCTTTTCATTGTAATTGGGACAATGAGGGAATAACACACACCTGGCCATGGAACAGCTGAGAAGCCAATTGTCCCATTACTTTTGGTCCCTTAACAAGTGGGAGGCACATATGCAAACTGAGGGTATTTACATCCAAATCAGGTGAACGGTGTAGGAATTACAACAAATTAAAGCTGACAGTCTGCAGTTAAAGCACATCTTGTTTGTTTCATTTCAAATCCATTGTGGTGGTGTTTAGAGCCAAAAATGTTACAATTGTGTTGATGTCCTAATATTTATGGACCTGACTGTATAACTCCCTCAGACCTGCACAAAACAGGGAGCTATACAGACTAGGC